GCCGCGACGGCCCCGACGCTGTCGCTGCTGCTGCGGGAAGGCCGCCGCTGCGGTCTTAGTGGCAGGAGCATCCATAGCGACCGCGGCAGAAACGTCTGCGTACGTGCACTGGGAGGCAGCATAGCCCTGAAAGATAAGGACTGCCGCAACACTGTTTGACTGAGCCATAGTGCGCTGGTGAGTCTCTATCTCAGAAATGGCAGCGACAAAGGCGGTCAGGGTGAGGTCACCAGGGTGCTGGCTAAGGAAGTGGTCGCGGGCATAGGCTAAGCGGTCAGACAGGCGCATGGCAATAAGGTGCTGGGTAGCGCACAACGGCGGGGGAAAGGCAGTGAGCTGGGCTGTAGTGCTAGCAGCGCGGTAGCTAGTCTCTAGTGCACGGAGGTGAGTGGCAAGATCAGCAACAGTGGGAAAAGCAGAGAGATCGGGGAAGAGCATGGGGAGGATCGAGCGTCCAGCTGAGGCGGAGGCAAGCGTGGAGTAGCGTGCAACTACTACATCTAGGAAGTCTTTAGCGTTCGCGACAGCAGTGAAACGCGGACGCTCAGATAGGAGAAGCGCATGACAAATGGCAATCTACGCTACAGCATCGTGAGAATCCCAGACAACGCGAGCGAGCATAGTAGAAGCAAAGGCCTCACTCTCAGTAGTGGTGGGGTCAGCAGGGAGGGGATCAGATGCGGGGGGGGGGGGGGGGGGGGGGGGGGGGGGGGGGAAGCAAGCTATCAACACCCTTCCCCGCTGTCGGCCTTCCCCGCTTTCGCCCTTCCCCGCTGTCGCCCTTCCTCGCTGTCGCCCTTCCCCGCGTTGTTGCCCTTCCCCGAGCCGCCCCTTTCCGCTTCGCCCTTCTGCGTGTCGCCCTTCTCCGTATCGTCCTTCTCCGCGTCATCCATCAAGCTTCCCCTCGCCGCCATTTCTCCCTACCCCTTGCTGTCAATCTCCATTCCCCTCATCTCCCCTCTTCTTTGCCCACCTCCTCCACGCCTGTTCTCTCCCTCTCCCCCTATCCGCCTCTCCCTTTCCCCATATCCTCCTCTCCGTTTCCCCTTATCCTCCTCTACTTTTCCCCCTATCCGCCTCTCCCTTTCCCCCTATCCTCCTCTCCGTTTCCCCTCATCCTCCTCTCCCTTTCCCCCTATCCTCCTCTCCCTCTCCCCCTATCCGCCTCTCCCTTTCCCCCTATCCTCCTCTCCGTTTCCCCCCATCCTCCTCTCCCTTTTTCCCCCTGTTCTTCTCTCCCTCTCCCCCTATCCGCCTCTCCCTCTCCCCCTGTCCCCCTCTCCCTCCCCCCCTATCCGCCTCTCCCTTTCCCCATATCCTCCTCTCCGTTTCCCCTTATCCTCCTCTCCCTCTCCCCCTATCCGCCTCTCCCTTCCCCCTATCCTCCTCTCCGTTTCCCCCCATCCTCCTCTCCCTTTCCCCCTGTCCTTCTCTCCCTCTCCCCCTATCCTCATCTCCCTTTCCCCCTTTCCTCCTCTCCCTCTTCACCTATCGTCCTCTCTCTTTCCCCCTGTCCTCCTCTCCTATCCGCGCTCCTCCCTCCCCCCCCCTTCCCTCTCATTCGTTTCTACTACTCCCATTGTCTCCCCCTGTTTTCATTCCACCCCCTTGCTCTGTTTCCCCCCCTGCTCCCTTGCTCCCTGTCACCCTATTTTGTTGCCTACAAGGCGGGAATGAGGTTGTGATGGTGGGGCCTGACTCTTCTCATCTCCTGATCTCTTGCCTCTCAGCTCCCGCTCTCTTGCCTCTCGGATCCCGCTCTCTTTCCTCTCAGCTCTCGCTCTCTTGCCTCTCAGCTCCCGCTCTCTTGCCTCTCATCTCCCCTCTGCTCACCCCTCATTCACTCACTACCCCCATTCTTTGCCATCTGCCTCTCCCTCTCCTTTCTCTCCCAACAGTGATTCATGACACGCACAGGGCACTGCACGCATCAACTTGCTCTCTCCCCGCCTCTTCCGCGCTCTCCCTCGCACCACCACACCCTTTAAAGCCCAGATCCCAAATTAGTTCACGCGAGTCAATGGGCTGGTTCAGGAAAAAAAAAACAATCGTTTTTATTGGGTGCGAAAAACCGAGATTCTGTTACTTCGCACAGGGTTCGTATGCAAGGTGGGCCCGGTTTGATTTGTGGTGAGTTCAAGATGGCCCATAAGCGCATCTGACGGTTGAGACACAGGGACACATGAAGTCCCAATTTGTAAGCACACTTACAACCGTCGATTGGAAACCTGGCGAGAGCAGGGTTTGACGGGAGTTGGGTTTGGCAAGCCCGATCTAACGGTGGAAACTGCACGAATCAAACTAGGCCCAGTTTGTTAAGTCTATTTCCACCGTAGATATTCCATCCTTGATTTTGCCTCTCACTGTGGCGAAGGTACAGTTGGTTATTTTTTTTTCTTGGGTAGTTCGCGAGCACGGTCAGCATCAAACTGGGCCCAGTTTGATGCTGCCTGACTAATTTGGGACCTGGGCTTTAAAGCAAGAAGGTAAAATAGTGAAGGCTGGCCCAACTTGAAAGAGGACTCCCCCCTGTGACTTCTCTTGGAAACCTCGGCTGACAAATTACTGTTCCAAAGTGACGCGGGTTGGAAAAATGAAGTTTGATCTCAAAGCTGATTGGATCCCGCCAATATGATTGTCGCGAGACGAAACTCGCGACGTGTCAAAGCTGTATTTCTGACACGAAATGCTTGTCAGGGTTAGCGTTTCCCTGTGCGATTCTGGCATGGCGAATGCATGCGACGGGTTGAGTCTTTTGGATCCAGTTGGGCCCAACTCGGATTTCAAATTGGGCCTGGGTTCATAATTGTTGCAAAGAGCACTTCTTCATTTCCTACGCGAAAGTTCATTTCCTGGCTAGCTGACCCCCTGTTTTTTCTGCCTTAGTGCCTAGGAAACGTGAGGAAAATGTGCCGCAACGATATAGGGAGAGAGTGGTGCAGCGGGAGGGAAAGAGAGATAGTTACGCGGCGGGAGAGAGAGAGAGCAACGCGATGGGAGAGAGAGCAGCGTAGCGAGATGGGGGAGAGACAGAGTACCTATTTGCGGGAGAGAGAGAGAGAGAGAGAGAGAGAGAGAGAGAGAGAGAGAGAGAGAGAGAGAGAGAGAGAGAGAGAGAGAGAGAGAGAGAGAGAGAGAGAGAGAGAGAGTAGCGCGATGGGAGAGAGAGGAGTAGCGCGGCGGGCGAGAGAGAGAGTAGCGCGGTGGGCGAGAGAGAGAGTAGCGCGGTGAGAGAGAGAGAGAGTAGCGCGATGGGAGTGAGCCAGAGTAGCGCGATGGGAGAGAGACAGAGTAGCGCGATGGGAGAGAGAGAGTAAGTAGCGCGATGTGTGAGAGAGAGAGAGAGTAGCGAGATGGGAGTGAGACAGAGTAGCGCGGTGGGAGAGAGAGAGAGAGTAGCGCGATGTGTGAGCAAGAGAGAGTAGCGAGATGGGAGTGAGACAGAGTAGCGCGGTGGGAGAGAGAGAGAGAGTAGCGCGATGTGTGAGCGAGAGAGAGTAGCGAGATGGGAGTGAGACAGAGTAGCGTGATGGGAGAGAGAGAGTAAGTAGCGCGATGCGTGTGAGAGAGAGAGTAGCGAGATGGGAGTGAGACAGAGTAGCGCGATGGGAGAGAGAGAGTAGCGAGATGGGAGTGAGACAGAGTAGCGAGATGGGAGAGAGAGAGAGAGAGAGAGAGAGAGAGAGAGAGAGAGAGAGAGAGAGAGAGACAGAGAGAGAGAGAGAGAGAGAGAGAGAGAGAGAGAGTAGTGGGAAGGGAGAAAGAGAGTAGCGAGGCAGGAGAGAGAGAGAGAGTAGCGGGAAGGGAGAAAGAGAGTAGCGAGGCAGGAGAGAGAGAGAGAGAGTAGTGCGGCGGGAGATAGAGAAAGTAGTGCGATGAGAGAGAGAGCAGCGTGGTGAGATGGTAGAGAGACAGAGAATATCGTGGCAGGAGAGAGAGAAAGTAGCACGATGGGAGAGAGAGCAGCGCAACGAGAGAGCATCGCCCCTTCCTCTCTCTCTCTCACCGCGCCTCTTCCTCTCTCTCTCCGCACCTCTTCCTCTCTCTATCCGCGCCTCTTCCTCTCTCTCTCCGAGCATCTTCCTCTCTATCTCCGCCCCTCTCCTTTGATTTCGCCAGGGCTTTCCATCTCGCGCTCCCGCTCTGAACACTTCTTCCTCACCGTCATTCTCCCGCTCTCCGCACCTATCGCCGCGAGTCTCTCTCTGTGTCGTGGTTTTGGTATTTTGCACTCTGTATTTCACTCGCAACGTTTTATTTTGCTGGTACTTTGAAGTGACACTTGAGGGGGAAATGCGTGCCTCAGGCTTTCAAAATCAAGGTCTTCAGCTTGTCTTTCGCAGGGTAGCGGGATGGCTTGTGATTTGCGACAATCATGCAAAATGTTCACTCGTAATTTGTCGCCAACTATCGCACAAACACAAACTGGCCCCCTAACAAAAAACTGTCTCGCAAGTTTCCAACCAGCACACTCTTGAGCCGAACTATTCTGAGTTGGGTCCAACTTGAAAAGGGGGTCACTATTCTAGCCTCTCGCTTTAAGCTTGTGTTGAAAAAAAAACGTTATTATAAAATTCTCTGTTTGAAAAGAAATCAACGATTGGGCGTAACAGCCAGAATGCATCTATCCTATGTACCATATTCCTTTTGTTACGCATGGCCTTAGAGTGAGCTCATGGTTTGTTTTTGCAGACTTTAGTTATACAATTACATATTGTTTATGGTTTAGTTTTGGCGCTGTAATATAGTTACCGTGGGCTCGGTTGGTGCAGAGTCGGGCGTGTTTCCAGAATAATTCGTTTCGTGTTTCGGGTGCCTCACGTGTGCTTTTGCCTGATCCTTTTTGCCTGACAGTCTTAGCTACACATTGGGGTCGGTATGTTCTCGTCATTGTAGGCGCCCCACCTCTGGTGCACCCTCCCTGTTTCAGCTCGTCGCCAAATTGTCGCCCATCTCCTGCAGGTGAGGTCCGTGACTTTCGCGATTCCCGAACCCCATTTTTCGTTTCGCAACCCCCCTGCGAATTTCGCCTCTCTGACCAAGATTCAAAGTCTTGATTGTTCTTGGGTCACGCGCTACCCGGAAAACCGGCTCCAGGCATAATTCTCTGCGAATTACCTGCCGTTTCCCTCCGAAAGAGCTTCCCTTCTTCAGCACGCAATCGCCCGCGATGGCGATATCCGACGCCGACGGCACGCCGTCTGGCGGCACGGCACGGCAGGATGCCTCGCCGGCTGCTGGCGGAAAATCAAACGCGCGGAAGGCAGGAGTGGCGAAGGGCCAGCGGAAGCCGCCACACCGTCGCGAGAGGTACTTCGGCGACGGGAGCGCGGCTGCGGAAGCGAAGAAAGGCACGAGGGGGAAGGCGGGGAGTGCTGCGCAAGAATCAAAACTTGACGCGGAGGGTTTCGGGGGCGCGGCGGAGGGTTTCGGGGGCATGGGGGAGGGTTTAACGCTGGCGGAGGATTTAGGGCTGGCGAGGAGAGAACCGGGCGGGGGGGAGGCGGAAGCGGATTGGAGCGCGTGGGGGGAGGTTTCCCCGGATGGGGGGAGGGGGACGAAGGGGGAGGAGCGGAGGGAGGAAGGGGAGGTGGCGGATGAGGAGGAGGAGGACTCGGACGGCGTGGACAGGGAGACGAAGGCGATGATGAGCAAGTACAGCCGCGGCAAGGCGCTCAACACCGCTGTGAGACGATCCATGCACGGCTCGTAGGGGTGCAGCACGAACGAGGGGGTTTTGAAGGGTTGTCGAAGCATTTGCCCCAGTTGTAGAGGTGGCTTTGTTCAGAGGTATCGTGCGGCGCATATCCATGCCGCGACAAGCAATCGCAGCCACACTCCCATCCGTCATTTCACCCCCTTGGCCCCCCCCCCAGCCTCCCGTAACCCGCTTCCCCCGTCATTTCTTCCTCCCGCGCCCCCCTCCTCTTCTTCCCCTTCTCGACCCCCGCCTTCGCGATTCTTCAGAAATTTCCGGGCAGATTGAAAGCAAAGATGGAGCATCGGGAGAAGGTGATTGGCCAAGGAGTCCTGACCGCTGCCCAGGCAGAGAAGGTACGCTTGAACCCCACGCTGGACCTTGCCGGCGGGAGAGATGGCCCGAGGCGCCTAGTTGCAATGCCCCCCTCAACTTGCATCATCGCATCCGCGTTTCTTCGCCCCCATCTCCATGCCCGCTTTGTCTTCCCGTTGTCCACCGTTCCCTCGCTGTGGACTTCGCCCTCCCATCCCCCCTTAATTATACACACTGACAGAGGCACAAAACGTTCACGCCCAATGCGAACCCAGCGTCACCCCCCTTTCCCCTCGTCATCCCCCGTCCATCGCCCCCCACACCCCCCCGTTTCCCCCCTCGTCTCGTCCTCCCACCCACCCTGCACAGCTCTCGACTCAAAAGTCTTCTCGTCCTCCCACCCACCCTGCACAGCTCTCGACTCAAAAGTCTTCTCGTCCTCCCACTCACCCTCCACAGCTCTCGACTCAAAAGTCTTCTCGTCCTCCCACTCACCCTGCACAGCTCTCGACTCAAAAGTCTTCTCGTCCTCCCACCCACCCTCCACAGCTCTCGACTCAAAAGTCTTCTCGTCCTCCCACCCACCCTGCACAGCTCTCGACTCAAAAGTCTTCTCGTCCTCTCACCCACCCGGCACAGCTCTCGCTCTCCGCACCTCGTCGCTGCCCACCCTCTTTCCTGAAGCCTCGCTGATCCGTGCCGTCCCTTCTCCTCTCCGCCAGGGGCAGTTCCCATCACACACGTGGGGGCGGACGCCGTGGAGCATGCACCTCTCTCTCACGCCCTCACCTTCTTGGATCCCTTGTTTCTTTAGCCCTCCCCACTGTTCCCCCCCCCAATCCCCCCTCTCTCCCCGTTCCCCCCACCCCGCTCCCCACGTCCCTTGCGTCGTGAGTGGTCGTTGGTGTTACCGTAAGAAGCAGGGCACGTGGAGGCGGAGGGGGTGGAGGGCAGGCCACTGTTCTCTTGCTGCCACCTCTTTGTTTCCCTTCTCCCTTTCCCCCGACCCTCGTTTTCCAATCCTCCCCTCCCGCTGGCTGCTGCCACCAGGAGAAGCGGGATGCATGCTGGAGGGGGGAGGACAGTGGAGCGTGCGGCTGTCTCTCACTGCCACCACCCTTTGCTTCCCTCGGTTCCCCAACTCAACCACCCCTCCTGCCTCTTACCCCCACATTCTCCCTTCCCGCTCCCCTCCACCACCAACCCCCCAGTGGCTGCTACCATCGGAGGCGGGGTACGTGGAGGCGGAGGGCGTGGAGCGCACAGGCAACTTCTCCCAGGCGGACATCGTGCAGCACGTGGGGGCGAGCAGCAGGCGAGCAGCTTTTGACCTCAAGCTTACAGGTGGGGATGGCATGGCGCGGTGGGCTGGATGGCATGGCGCGGTGGGCTGGATGGCATGGCACGGTGGGCTGGATGGCATGGCGCGGTGGGCTGGATGGCATGGCGCGGTGGGCTGGATGGCATGGTGCGGTGGGCTGGATGGCATGGCGCAGTGGGCTGGATGGGATGGTGGGGTGGGGTGGATGGGTGTGGTGGGTGTGTGTGTGAGGGAACACGGGGGTCATCCATTCAGCATTCACCCATGAGGGGAGGTGCTGCCTGTGCTGCCTGTGCATTCACACATGCGTCCTCCCACTCCTCCTCCCACTCCTCCTCCTCCTCCCACTCCTCCTCCTCCTCCTCCTCCTCCTCCTCCTCCTCCTCCTCCTCCTCCTCCTCCTCCTCCTCCTCCTCCTCCTCCTCCTCCTCCTCCTCCTCCTCCTCCTCCTCGTTTCTCATACATCGCCCCCACCCTCTGCTCCCTACTCCTCACCTCCCATCTCTCCTGCCTGCAGTCAGATCTTGCCCCTGCCCAGCCAGCCCACCCTTCCCTGATCCCACTACTGTGCGCCCCTCTGCCTTCCACCTCTCTCGCCCATCCCATCCGTCCCCCGCCCTCCCGCCCTTCCCGCCCTCAGAGCTGGGTCCCTACAAGGCGGCGTATTCCCTCAATGGCCGCAGTCTGCTGCTGGGGGGGCGCAAGGGGCACTTGGCGGTGGTGGACTGGCGGAGGTGCAACGTCACCACGGAGATTCAGGTAATCAGGGGATGAGGGCGGCCGGGCTGTGAGGGGCTGGCGGGCTGTGAGAGGTGTGCGGGCTGTGAGGGGCGTGCTGGCTGTGAGGGGCGTGCGGGCTGTGAGGGGCGTGCGGGCTGTGAGGGGCGTGCGGGCTGTGAAGGGCGTGCAGGCTGTGAGGGACGTGTGGGCTGTGAGGGGCGTGCGGGCTGTAAGGGGCGTGCGGGCTGTGAGGGGCGTGCGGGCTGTGAGGGGCGTGCGGGCTGTGAGGGGCGTGTGGGCTGTGAGGGGCGTGTGGGCTGTGAGGGGCGTGCGGGCTGTGAGGGGCGTGCGGGCTGTGAGGTAACTGTTTTTGCAGTTAACCCCGGGGGCCACAAGGGCGCTTGGTGTGGTGGTGGTGGACTGGAGGAGGTGCATGCGACCACGGAGGTGCAGGTGGGCTCAGGCCAGGCACCACATCCTGTCGTGCCATGGTTCTAGTCAAGTTCTATCATGCTTCTTCCGGGGGCCCAAGACACAGCGTGCCAAGTGGGCAGTGAGTGCATGGGACTTGCTCACCAGTTCTCACATCCATGCCATGCGAGGGCCTTCACTTGGGCACAGGAAAGTGTCTGTCCGATCCTCCCTGGCTCTGTTTTGCTCGCTCAACAGCACCTTGCTCAGTGTGCGCTTCTTATTGTGTTGTCCCCCCTCTACTTCCCTTGTTTTGCTTGCATATCGGAGCACGTTGCGTGTGTGTGTGTGTGTGCGTGCGTGCGTGCGTGCGTGCGTGCGTGCGTGCGTGCGTGCGTGCCTGCGTGCGTGCGTGCGTGCGTGCCTGCGTGCTGGCGTGCGTGCTTGCGTGCGTGCGTGCTTGCGTGCGTGCGTGTGTGTGTGTGCGCATGAATGCACGTGTGCACGTGTGCATGGATGCATGTGCATGTGGGCCGCGAGCATGAGGATGCATGTTGCCGTGTGCCACCACCAGGTGCGGGAGACGGTGCACGATGTGTGCTTCCTCCACAACGAGCTCTTCTTTGCCGTAGCGCAGAAGAGGTCAGGTTCTGGGCGCTTCTGTGTGGAGTCACAAGAGTGGAAAAGATGGGGTGGGGATGGGTGGCCATGCCCCCCAGTGAGGTGCCTGTTTTGAGGTGTCTATCCGAACCGGCACGAGCAATGCAGACACAGTTTGTGTCGACGCTATTGCCCACAACTATACCAGTTGTGGTCGGCTGTTGCCATGTGACACGCCATCCAGAGGCCCCACATTGCTGCAATCTTTCCCTGTGCACCCAAGTCCCTTCCCCCCCCGCCCCCCCAATGCGGCCATCTCTTCCCCTCATTCGTTGGTGTCACTCATCCTCGCAGACCTTGCTCCTTCCTCTCATGTTTTCCCCCTATTCCCATTCTCTCGTACTCCTCACGTTCATACTTCCCCCCCCCCCTCCGCACCAGGTACACCTTCATTTACGACAAGAGGGGCATCGAGCTGCACTGCCTCAAGGTGCGTTGCTGCGCCTTTTGACTATTGTGTTGACTGGTGTTCATCCGCCCATGTCATTCCACCTCCCTCGTTTGCAACTTGTCCGTCTCTCTCGACCCTCTTTGTCACACGCAGCTGCGCTCTGCCCTGCTGCTCCGCTCTCACCCCTGAACATCTATATCGAAATGTGCCATGCTGGACGATGTTGATACCACCACCCCCTTATTGTCGCCCTTACCGACCAGCACTGAGCTGTGCGCCTGCTGGTCTTGCATTCAGGCGCTTCATACCGCCTCCCTTTCCCTCTTCCCCCCCCACCCTCCCCTAACCCCTCTCGCTCCCAAACCCCGCTTTCAGAACATCACGGGCAGCGGTGCCCTGCGCCTGCAGTTTCTGCCGCACCACTTCCTGCTGGCCTCTATTTCAAAGGGCGGCGTGCTCGACTACGTGGACACGAGCACAGGCAGCCACGTGGCGCACCACAAGACGCGCAAGGGGCGCTGCGACGCCATCACGGCCGACCCACGCTCGGGCGTGGTGTCCCTGGGCCACAGCAACGGCACCGTCACCCTCTGGAGCCCCTCCATGGGCACGCCGCTGGCCACGCTGCTGGCGCACCACGCGCCCATCACCGCCATTGCCAACGATGTGTCGTCGGGGAATTACCTGGTGACTGCGGGGATGGAGGGGCGCGTGCGCGTGTGGGACGTGAGGAAGATGCGCGAGGTGCACTCGTACATCTCGCCCACACCAGCTCGGACCATCGCGTTGAGTCAGTGCGAAATGCTGGCGGTGGGGTTTGGATCCGCAGTGGAAGTGTGGAAGGAAGCGCTTACTTCGAAGCAGCACTCGCCGTACCTGAAGCTGCGGATTCAGTCGAGCGGGGCCAACAGGAACACCAGGAGCGGAGGGGGAGGGGGCGCAGCAGCCACGTTCGCCGGAGCCACGGCAGCAGCAGCTGTGGAGCGACTGGCCTTCTGCCCGTACGAGGACGTGCTGGGCGCCGGGCACGCCGAGGGCTTCACTTCCCTCCTCGTGCCCGGGGCGGGCGAGCCCAACTTTGACTCGCTGGTGGCAAACCCGTTTGAGACGGGCAAGCAGCGGCGCGAGGCGGAGATCCACATGCTGCTGGACAAGCTGCTGCCCGAGTCGATTATGAGGGAGCCCGACCGCATCGGCACGCTGCTGCGCCCGCACGAGCGCCAGAGGAACCTCACCCAGACGCTGGTCTCCAAGGCTAACGCTGCGGCTCGGGCAAAGAGGGTTGGGAAGAGACCCGGGGAGAAGAAGGGGGGGGAGAAGGAGGGTGGGGAAGGTGGTGGTGGTGGGGGGGGAGGGGGAGTGGAGGGGGATGAGGAGGATGAGGAGGAGGGGGAGGAGGAAGGGGGGGATGGGGTGAAGCGGCCGCGGGAAAAGAACAAGACCAAGGGGCGCAACAAGCCATCGAAGCGTGCCAAGAGGAGGAAGATTAACATCATCGAGACCAAGAGGGAGGCGGCGAGGAAGGATGTCAGGGCGAAGGAGGGAGGCGGAGGGAGAGGAGGGGCGAGCGGGGGAGCGGGAGGGGGTGGGGAGGGAGGGGATTCTGGAGTGCCGCTCGCTCTGGCTCGGTTTCAAAGGAAAGGAGCACAGTGAGAGAAGGGGGGGGGGGGGACATAACGAGAGGAACAGGAAAATGGCAGAGCTGTAGGCGTGCTGCTGGCCTAAGGTGGGATCCTCCAGTAGCCGCAGGAGATGCATCTTTGTGGCAGTGAGAAAGACTGGGAAAAAATCATTGGTATACTTCTACACAAGTCTGTTTGTGCATGTGGGAGCAAATCAGCTGCTGCCAGACCAGAGCAAACGATGGATGAAATCAGAGGATAGCTTCCAGCATCGGCTCCCGCCTAGAAAATGTTGGTGACCCTTACTCAAGCTGAGCTCATACATATCCACGATTTAGGAGCAGATGTGAGAAGTGCAAAGCTTGTACCATTCACGTCCCGATATTAGGATCGTGCGTTCATTATCGACTCGAGACCACAATGGTGTCAACTTATACATATGATGTTATGTAGAAGTTTTAGGCTAGATATGTTCTTAGTGGATACAACTCCAACACTATATCTCTCGTTCTCCCTTGTTTCAACCCATTCTAGTATCCTAACATGGTATCATGCGTAGGTTAGGTCCCCCCCCCCACTCGCTTCCGCCCCGCGGCCTAGCCTACCACGCCTCGCTGGCCCCTAGCGCGCCCGCCGGCCCCTAGCGTGCTCGCCGTCCCCTCGCGCCGTAGCCGGCCCGTAGCGTGCCCGTCGGCCCCTCGCGCCCTAGCCGACCCCTCGCACCATCGCCGGCCCCTAGCGTGCCCGCCGTCCCCTCGTGCCGTAGCCGGCCCCTAGCGTGCCCGTCGGCCCCTCAAGCCCTAGTCGGCCCCTCACGCCCTAGCCGGCCCCTTGCCCCCAAGCCGGCCCTTTGCGCCCAGCCGGCCCCTTCGCGACCAGCCGGCCCGCCCCTAGCGCCGTCGCCAGCCCCTCGCGCGGGCCCCTCGCGCCCTAGCTGGCCCCTCGCGTCGTCGCCCGCCCCTAGCGCCCAGCCGGCCCCTTCGCCACCAGCCGGCCCGCCCCTCGCGCCGTCGCCAGCCCCTCGCGCCTTCGCTGGCCCCTCGCGCCCTAGCTGGCCCCTCGCGTCGTCGCCCGCCCCAAGCGCCCAGCCGGCCCCTTCGCGACCCGCTGGCCCGCCCCTCGCGCCCTAGCTGGCCCCTCACGCCTCACCGGCCCCTCGCGCCTAGCCAGCCCCTCGCGCCTTCGCTGGCCCCTCACGCCCTAGCTGGCCCCTCGCGCCGTCGCCTGCCCCTGGCGCCGTCGCCCGCCCCTCGTGCCGTCGCTGGCCCCTCACGCCTGACCGGCCCCTCGTCGCGGCCCCAAGGGAGGGCGTGGTGGTGGTGGAGGCGACAATGGTTCTGACGAGGGGGCTGGGGCAGGTGTCCAGGAGCAGCAGCAGCAGCAGCCGCAGCAGGAGCAGCAGCAGCAGCAGCAGCAGCAGCCGTGGGCCCGCCTCCTGTCGGGGTGGCCGGGAGCCCCTGGAGGTGGTGGCCGAGGTGGCGGTCCTCGCAGCTCGGCATCTACCGGCAGCTTCAGTGCAATGGGCTGCCAGTACCAGCTCTAGACCAGGCCCCTCCGTGGCACTGTGTGTCGCCGCCCGCACCCGACCGCCCGCTGCTTCCGCCGCCTTGACGACCTCTTTCGTCGCCGCTTCGGCCCGGCTCCGGACCTCCCAGACTGGCCCAGTCTGCTGCGCCACGGTGTGCCTATTTTTGACTTAGACATGGATCATATTAAACCTGCCTTGCATTCTCTGTATGCTGACGCTTCTAGTGTGTCCGGATCTTATTCCCATGTGTTCTCTAGTTTAGGCGTAGCACCTGTGTGTAGTACAGACTCCTTTGCTGCGTTAGGCGTAGGACCGTTTGCTTTGTCTAGCCTAGACTCCACACTCGCTCCTCCTTTGTCTGCTGCTACTGCTTCGGTGTCCTTCACACTTGACTCTTGTGTCTCTGCCTGCTTCTTCCACGGCCACGCCGCGCTCACGCCGCTTGCCGCGCCTTCCGCTGTCACACTTGCTGACCCCTTGTCTGGACTTGTCGTTGCTCGTAGCTACACTACCCTCCCCTGTCCAGCGGTGCCCTCGGGCTCTGTCACAGGATCGAATGACTCGAGGAAAGATTGCACTATCGATGAATACAAGGCACTTTTATACTTCCAGAGTACATCACGTAACCAGGTTTATCCTATCCAAGGGAATATACCATTCTAGAAAATAGAATCACCCTGCCTATAGCCACGCGAGGCTATTGGCTTTAAGGGATTACGCCAGAATTACGCTAGATATAGCGCGCTAGTACATTTCGAGTCTGGTCGGTGATATAATTATAATAACATAATAGACCAAAGGATAATGGAAAATGGAGAATAGGAAACCAAATAAGATGGGATAAAAAGAGGGATGTAATAGAAAGGAAGTAGGAAAAAGGGGTGTAACGGGATTGTACTCTCACAGGCTCCCTTACATGCCTCCATATCCCCTCGTTCTCCAGGAACTTAGTTGGTGTCGGCTGTCTTAGGACCTCGGTGTCACTACTACGTTTCCTGGTCCCAAGCGATTCGCTGTCTGTACCGAGGTTGCCTCAGGTTCCCTCCTTGCAACGTTCCCCCAGGACCCGGTGTCTGGCCTATTTACGCTGGACACTGCTCCCCTCCCAGTTGGCTCGTCCTCCTCGGGCCCTGCGTCTACCCAGGTCGCCACGGCTTGCTCCTGTCGGTCGCTCACTCACCCGTCGCTTCTGTGACACCACCACCTAGGTCACCCTGCACTACCGCGCCCGCGTCACATGTCCCAGCACAGTCTCGTCCTAGGTCTCCCTTCGTCGCTTCATGCCCTCCCTCCCTCGCCTGCGCCGTCGTGTACGCTCTGCGTCGAGGGCCGGCTGTGTCGTGCTCCTCACTCCTCCTCGCTTCGTCCTGCCACCGCACCCCTTCAGACCCTGCACCTGGACGTCTGGGCCCCTGCCCCCGTCCTTGGACCGCGTCGCGAGAGCTACATTCCAGTGCTCTTGGATGACTACACGCGCTACACCACGGTGTTTCCTTTTGGAGCAGAAGGCCGACGTGCCTGACGTTCTTATCCCGTGGGTCGTGGCTGCCCGCCTTCACCGCAGTCTCCTTGTGTTGTGTCTCTACTCCGACCGTGGAGGCGAGTTTGCCTCTGGTCGGCTTGGACAATTCTGTCGTACGGAGGGCATCACCCAGTCGTACTTCCTACCGGACTCCCCGCAGCAGAATGGGGTCGCTGAGCAACACGTCGGCTTGGTCATGGAGGTGGCGCGTACCTCCATGATTCATGCCGGTGCACCCCATTTTCTGTGGCAGTTCGCCGTTCGCTACGCTGCTCACTAGCTTAACCTATGGCCGCGCTCCCAGCGGCCGCAGGTTTTGTCGACCCTTCTTTGGACCGGGTTCCATGGTGACGCGTCTGCATTCCACATCTGGGGCTGCCTCACTCACGTCCGTGCCTCTCGCACGGACAAGCTCACTGACCACACTGTTCCTTGTGTCTTCCTCGGTTTCCCCCTGGACTCGTCTGACTGGCACTTTTACCATCCGCAGTCTAACAGCTTCTTTCACTCCCGTGACGCCACCTTCGACGAGTCTGCCTCCTTGTACCACAGATTTCCCCACCGGGTTCTCCTTGTTTCCCCCCCCTATTTCTGGTCCCCACTCCCCCGGTCACCCTGGCTCCCCTTCCCCCCCGTCTTGCTCTGCCTGGTGTGTCTCACGCCACTCCCCCCCTGTCGGTTGTCCAAGTCGAGGAGTCGGCTGACTCTGGCGGCCCTGTGGCACAGCTCCCGCCACCTGTCTCCCCCCCAGTGTCTCCCTCTCTGCCGTCGCAGTCGCTGCCATCACAGCAGCCATCGCCGTTGCCACAGCAGCCACGGCCGCCGCAGCAGCTGCCGCCGTCAGCAGCCGCAGCCATTCGTGGACTCTGGGGGTGCTGGCGTTGAGGAGGGTGCTAGTCTGGCGGTTCCTGTCGTGGCTTGCCCCGGTAGGCTCGGGGGTGGCACCGGTGCTAGAGAGGGTGCTCGTTCTGGGGGTGCTGGAGTGGAGTGTTCCGGAGGTAGTCGCGGTGCAGCTAGCGGTCTACGTGTCCGCATCGACCAGCAGTAGCAGGAGTTGCCGCCGCTGTCTGCCCTTCGCCTGCTCGGCCTTCCATCCCCTCACCGCTCGCTTGCGCTTCGCCCGCCGCCTCCTCCCCTACCTGTTCATGGCCCTGTGTCTCCTCTGCCGGACTCCTCCCCCGCTCGATTCCTGTCTCAATCCCTTCCTGTTACACCTCCTCAGTCTCCTGACCCAACGCCGCCATCTCACGTCTGGTTTCGCCATCCCTCTTGTGCTCATCCTGTCTCTCCTGTTCAGCGCTCTCACCCTATGTTGCTTCGTTCCCACATGTCTCGTCCTCTCCTCCTGCCCTCGCCTCCTCTGTCGTCACTCGCTATTGCGCCTCCCCCTCTGTCTGACTACCTTCGTGCTGCTCATCCTCTTGTTCCTCGTTTCCTTGCCTCCCTCGTTACCGACCCATATTTTCTTGTCTCCAGTCTTGACGCTCTTATCGCGGCTGTCGCTGGGACAGAGCAGATCTCCAGAGACAGAGCAGCGCGCACCATCACTCTCACACATTCACACTTGGTGCGCCAGGTCCTTTAGAGGTTCGGTCTTCAGTTCTCCTCTGAGCAGCTCATACCTCTGCTAGTAGACCACAAGCTTTCAGCTCCAGTTCCTGAGGAGTCAACAAAGCCCAGTGGTCCTTACGCAGAGCTGGTGGTTTGCCTCATGTAAATGATGACTTGCACTCGTCCAGATCTTGCATACCCTCTCAAAATCCTAGCTCGCTTTGTGGCCACAAGAAGACACCGACCCCAGCACTAGTCGGCCGATAAGAGGGTTTTGCGTTATCTTGCAAGTACATCGGGCATGGGGCTAGTGCTGGGAGGACGCTGGCCAGTGGTCCTTACTAGGCACACGGACGCTTCTTGGGCACACGACGCTGAGACCCTCAGGTCCTCACAAAGCTACCGCTTTAGCCTTGGTTCAGATGCCATCTCGTGGAGGTCCACTCGCTCCTCGTCTGTTGCCCGGTCTAGCTGTGAGGCTAAGATCTACGCCGGTGCCATGGCGGCACACGAGGTCCGCTAGCTGACATTCTTGCTTACCGACTTAGGTGAGCGGCCTAGCTCTGCCCCGTTCCTGTACGCTGACAACACGGCCATGATCCTCCTGTGTCAGGAGCCTTGACTTGATGGCAGAGCGAAGCACATCCAGCTGCGGCAAGAGTGGGTGTAGGATGTGATTCATCTCTGCTTGGAATGTTGCAGGTGCGTTGGTGAGTCCGAACGGCATGACCAAACACTCGTACGATCCGCCATTCTTATCTGCTAGTATCCGGACCGCAGATCTAGTTTTGAAAATACCGTAGCTCCCCGAAGCTGGTCAAGCAGGTCATCGATTCGTGGTATCGGATATTTGTTCTTGATGGTCTGCTTGTTGAGAGCTCGGTAGTCGATGCACATGCGCAGGCTTCCGTCCAGTTTCAGTGTGAAGAGTACTGGGGCACCGTATGGCGAAGTGGATGGTCGGATGAGTCCTTTGGTGAGGAGATACTCGATCTGCTTCTTGATGTCGGCTAGTTCTGTGGGGCTTAGCCGATATGGTGCTCGGAAGGTCGGTTTCGAACTTGGTTCCTCCACGATCTCGTGTTGGTGCGTTCGGTATGGCGGTAGTTCGTCCGGGAGGTCGTCGGGAAGAATGTCTTGAAACTCCTTCATTAGGTCCTTGATTTTCTCTGGAGGTTCTCAGGCTTTCTCTCCGTCATTCCCCACCTTTGCTGCTATCGCCAGGAACCCGGTGTCGGTTCGCTTCACGTCCTTCTCGAATCTGGCGAGTGTCTCCACTCGGATATCTCCTGTATCGTCCCAGTTGGGTATGTGGACTCTCATTCCTTTGTTGTAAATGCTTGCGGTGTAGGTTGAATTTCTTGAAGAAGTCTCGCCCGAAGATCAGGTCAAGCCCTTTTATGTTGGTGATGGGGAGAGCAGGTTTCCAGCGCAGTGGACCAATTTGTAGGTGTAGCACTGCTTCGCCGTACACTGGTAACTTGCTGCCATCCACCATCGTTGCAGAAAATGCTGATGGCTTGTACTCTTCTCGAAGTCGGTCGATGGTTGCCTTGTTGCATACAGTGTGCGATGCACCGCGAGTGCTTGGAGGCGTCCTCCTTTGCAGATGACCTCGAGCACGAGGGACAAGCATTGCTCGGAGTACCCAAAGATGGTTTCATTGATTGGGTCATAGGGTACATCCCAATATTCGTTGCTTCCTACTCCTGAGCTGGCAGCTGGCCGAGGCTACTTGGAAAAAGGTTCTTCTCCAGGGCCCGGATTTTCCGTGACGACTGTTCGTGTCGTTGACGAAGTTGCCGAGTTGGATGCATCTGAAGAAGGAGTTCGGGGTTTTTGCAGCTTCTTGTAGACCCCCAGCTGCCTTTTGAGCTGCTTCAGCTCCACCGACGTCTTCCCTGGGGAATGGGTAGTTGCTGTGGGCTGGTGTCGGGAGAGGACGTTGACTCCGTGGAAAGGTCGGCTTCTTTCCACACTCCTTAATTTGGTCCCCAAGTTCTCCGGTACCGGTATGATCTCCACAATTTTCAGCTTCTTCTAGAGTCCCTCCCGAAATTTCTCCAAGGCTCTAGCCCCTCGAGAATTACAAGTTTTCATTAAAGCATCTTTGTAAGATACCTTTAACGAATCCTTATAATTTCTTGGGTCTTCAAGGAGTTTCCCCGTCTGGGCAGAGTCCTTTTTCGCGGAGTTAGATTTTTCCTCGGCGATTTCCTCTGGCAAAGATTGGTCGTGGGTTGGAGATTTTTCGCCATCGTTTTCTCTTGTTCGCGTCGAATCAGCTGCGTCGAAGTTGATTTTTCCGGAAGTCCGCGGCCGCTTTCGGATCTTTTTTTTTTCGCCAGCTAGATGCGCAATCACTGGCGAGTCCCATTTTTTGGCTTCTGATTGGCCGAAGGATTTCCGCCACTGTTGCGTGCCTGATACTCTGCGCGTGCGGTTTTCATTTTGTTGCAGTCGAAGATTCGATGACCCGGCACCCCGCAAAAATCACACGTGTAGTTGGTGTTTTTCGGACGTGGCCGCCCCTCGAACCTGTCGACTTCCATCGGGTCGGCGAACGTGGGGTGAGCCGAGCGGTCGCCCTGTCGCGTACTGCTGACGTGCGTCCGTCGTGTCCTGGCGTTGACCATGTCGAAGCGTTCCACGGCCGATACGACGTCACTGTAGCTCGCGTAATTTGTCACTGCCACTTGTCGTTTGACTTCGGTCTTCAGCCCGGCGAGGGACGATTGTACTTTTTCCCCTTCGGTCAGGTCGGGAATGCGGTTATAAAATTCCTCCATCTGCTGCGTGTACTGCGCTACATTCCCGAACTGTTGATGACGCTTAATTTTTTCCTGGGCAAGGAAACCCGAATTTATCGGCTCGAAACGTTTGAGCAGGTCGGTGCGGAACTTCTGCCACGTGGCTTCGCCGTGGATGAACGTGCTGTTACCGCCGATCCACTCGAGTGCCGGCCCTCGCATCAGTGTCGCCGCGAGTCGTACACGTTGACCGTCCCAGGCTGGCGAGCTCCATCCGATGGCTGCGAAGTAGATCTTCATGCCGGCGATCCATCTGCGGACGCCGGAATTTCGATCGCTCGGATCGAACGGCTCAGGTGGGCGCGGTTTCGGAACCTCGAGAAATTGCTGCGTCGTCGCCGTTGTCGTTTCGTGTTGCGCTCTGACGAGTCGAGTTACTCCCTCGAACTTGTTTCGCCAAGCTTCGCGGTTGGCTCGCATCTCCTCCTGTAGGGTTGCGATGGGCGCGAAGAGCTGCTGGGTAACTTTGGCGTCGTCAAAGTTCGCCATCCTATTCAAAACACGCGCGGAGGGGGTAATTCGAAAAAACGCGGAGCTGGTGCTTACCAGAATCGGCGTCGAATTGGTCGCCCTTGACGGTTTTTCGAGGCAGGATCCCCCGCTGCTGCTGCTTAGCTGAGCGCGGCCGAGTGAGAAAAGCTCTGATTACCAAGTGTCAACGAATCGAATGTGTCGAGGAAAGGTTCCACTATCGATCAGTACAAGGCACTTTTATACTTCCTAAGTACATTAGGTAACCAGGTTTATCTTATCCTAAGGGAATAGACCCTTCTAGAAAATAGAATCACCCTGCGTACAGCCACGCGAGGCTATTGGCTTTAAGGGATTACGACAGGATTACGCTACATATAGCGCATCAGTACATCCTGAGCCTGGTCGATGATGTAAGGATAATAACAGGGTAACCCAAAGGTTTATGGGAAAGGTGAAATTGGAATCCAAATGGAATGAGATAGAAACCAAATGGATCAAGATGGAAAGAGGAATGAAATGGAAAGGAGAAAGGAATGGAACGGGATCGTACTCTTACACCACCGCTCTGGTCTCTAACCCTGTCCGTCCTCCATCCGTCGTGGGTGCTCCTGCCCTTGGCAGTGACATCCTAGAGGACAGGCAGTACAAGCTTGCTTTCCTGTCTCAGGCTGCTCCCCATCTCTTCTCCATGCTTCTAGTCCCTGAGGGTGACCCTGACGCCTTCGACATCCCGAGCCCTCGCACTTATGCTGAGGCGACCTCGGGACCCTGGGCCTCTCAGCGGATAGCTGACATGGAGCAGGAGATGGCATCTTGGAGATCCACCGGCACTTACTGTACGCCGACGCTGTTCCCCCACCTGGGGAAAACGTAGTCGACGGCCGTTGGCTCTTCAAGGTGAAGCGCCCCCCTGGAGAGAGGCCTGTGTTCAAGGCGCGCTACGTGGCTAGAGGCTTCAGTCAACGAGACGGGGTGAACTTCTTTCAGACCTTCGCCCCAACCCCGAAGATGACTACTCTTCGGGCACTGCTACACATAGCAGCACAGCGTGACTACGAGCTCCACTCCCTCGACTTCTCCACTGCTTTTCTTCAGGGCAGCCTATACGAGCAGGTCTACCTGTGCCGTCCTCAGGGCTTTATTGGTACCTTCCCTCCTGGGACCCAGTGACTCCTCTGGCACCCCGTCTACGGCCTATGACAGGCGCCCTGTAAGTGGCATGACACGTTGCGTGCTACGCTAGCTGACCTTCAATTATTTCTTCCCTCTGCAGACCCTTCGATCTTCGTTCCTGTTGGCCAGACTCCGTTCTACATCCTTGCCTACGTAGATAACCTGGTCTTGGCTACTGCAGACAGAGACGCGCTGGCCTCCGTGAAGGCCGAGCTGCTGAGGAGACACACCTGTACTGACCTAGGAGAGCTGCGCCGCTACCTTGGCCTGCAGATCTCCAGAGATAGAGTAGCACGCACCATCACTCTCACACAGTCACATTTGGTGCGCCAGGTTCTTAAGAGTTTCGGTCTTCAGTTCTCCTCCGCACAACCCACACTTTTGCTAGTAGACCACAGGCTCTCTTTTCTAGTTCATGAGGAGTCAGCAGAGCCCAATGGTCCTTACGCAAAGCTAGTGGGTTGCCTCATGTACCTGATGACTTGCACTCGTCTAGATCTCGCATACCCTCTCTGCATCCTGGCTCACTTTGTGGCTACTGGTCGGCACTGACCACAGCGAGGGTCGGCTGCCAAGAGGGTTTTGCGTTATCTAGCGAGTACATCGGGCATGGGGCTAGTGCTAGGAAGACGCAGGCCGGTGGTTCTTACTGGGCACACAGACGCTTCTTGGGCAGACGACGTTGAGACCCTTAGTTCCTCCCAGGGCTACTGTTTTTACCTTGGTTCAGGTGCCACCTCGTGGAGGTCCACTCGCTCCTCGTCTGTTTCCCAGTCTAGCTATGAGGCTGAGATCTACGCCCGTGCCATGGCGGCATAGGAGCTCCGCTGGCTGACCTTCTTGCTCACTGACTTGAGCAGTAGGGCCATGATCTTCCTGTGTCAGGAGTCTCGACTTGAGGGCAGAGCGAAGCACATCCAGCTGCGGTACTTCCTCCTGCGTGAGCTAGAGCAGCGCCGTCAGGCCAGCGTAGTCCACTTGGCCTCTGGTGCCAATATAGCTGATATCTTTACGAAGGTGTTTGCGCCTAAAGATCTTCAGCAACACTGCTTGCAGCTTGGTCTAGTTCCTGTAGACTCTCACTTGCTAGGACCTTGATTGTGTACTCCTCGTTATACATATATATCTCTCAGACTGGCCTTGTGGTTCCTCTTCCAGTTGTCGGACTAGTAGTGCCGCCCTGGTTTGCTCGTGTCTTATTTGTACTCTTGCTGACTGGACTTCGGACCCCAATCTCAGTGGTTGAACTAGTAGTACCACCCTGAGCTGTGTGCTTCTTGCTCAGCCCTACCCCTTATCTAGCCTAGGGGGTGTGACAACTTATACCTACATTTGCATGTAGAAGTTAAAGGCTAGAATAGGTGTATGCTCTTAGAGAGTACTGTCCAACATATCAGCCCCGCCTCTTGGCTGACCCCGTCGCCTAGTCAGCCCCGTCGCCCAGCCGGCCCCGTGGCCCAGCTGGCCCCGTCGCCTCGTCGGCCCCGTCGCCCTGCCGGCCACGTAGCCCAGCTGGCCTCGCCTCCTTGCCGGGCCCGCCTCCTAGCTGACGCCGTTGCCTAGCAGGCCCCGTCGCCCAGCCGGCCACCGTCGCCTTGTCGACCCCGTCGCCCAGCCATCCCCGTCGCCTAGCCGGCCCCGCCGTTCAACAGGCCCCGTCGCCTAGCTGGCCATGTTGCCTAGCCGGCTCCGTAGCCCAGGCGGCCCCGACTCCTAGCCGGCCCCGCTGCCTAGCCGGCCTCGTCGCCTAGGCGGCTCCGTCGCCAAGCCGGCCCCGTCACCTAGCCGGCCCCATATCCCAGCCGGCCTTGCCTCCTAGCTGGCCCCGCCTCCTAGCTGAACCCGTCGCCTAGCAGGCCCTGTCGCCCAGCCGACCCCTTCGCCCGGTCGGCCCTGTCGCCTAACCGGCCCCGTCGCCTAGCCGGCCCCGTTGCACAGCCAGCCCTGTCTCCTAGCCGGCCCCGTCCCTCAGCCGGCCCCGTAGCCTAGCAGGCCCCGTCACCTCCCCGCCTAGCTAACCCTGCCGCCTCGCCGCTCGCAGCCCCGTCTCCTAGAAACCTTGCCGCCGTCATCGACCCTCATAGGCGGATATTTTACCTCCATGGCAAACAAGACACAAAAGTGCCGTGCCCTTGCCCTCACGTGCACCCTGCTGCCCTGCCTCCACCAGCACACGCACACCCATCCACTGGTCAAGTGTTGTTAGCTTGCAGCCGTGCCTCCACCCCCACCAGCGCATCCTCCACCTCCATCATGCACAAGTGCAGCGCCCTCACGTGCACCCGCGCCACCCTGGCGGCGGCCCGCAGCAGCACGAAGAGGTCGGCGTGGGCCTCGAGAAATGGCATCCGCGCCTTGGGGCGCTCGTAGTACACCACCTCGCTGCCTCGTAGGGGCTGGGAGGGGGGAAGAGAGGGGGGGAGAGGGAGGAGAAGGGAGGGGGATGAAGGAGGGCTGTGTTGGGCCGTGGTAAAACAGCAGGTCACAGCGTCATCGTGGCTGTGCTGCAGGAGAGCGGAGGCAGGGGGGGGGGCCAGGTGCGCCTTGGGGCGCTCATAGTGCACCAGCTCACTGCCCTGCAGCGGCAGGGGGAAATAGGGAGGGAAGTAGGGAGAGGAATGATCATTATTGTTCAAGCGAGGCATGCGGATTGCTGGGTGTATGCTTGAGAATGGCAACACTACACTGCCCGTGATCCAGTGACTCAGTCGCCATGTCCTACCCCCACAGCCCCTGGTAACTTGCATGTAACATGCCACGAAAGTCACATACCAACCACGATGCACAACAACCATAATACATGACGCAAGACTGGCATGGTACACATGATACATGACGCATGACTGGCATGGTACACATGATACATGACGCATGACTGGCATGGTACACATGATACATGACGCATGACTGGCATGGTACACATGATACATGACGCATGACTGGCATGGAACACATGATACATGACGCATGACTGGCATGGTACACGAGCACCACACCACACCTGCGGCAGGGCGGGCGCCATGACAAAGTCGCAGCGCCGCATGTCGGCCTCCACGTCCTCCACGCGCACCGGGAACCACTTGCCGCCCTCGCCCCTCCCCCTCACCTCCTCCCCCCCCTCCGTCCCTCCATCCTCCCTTGCTCTTTCCTCCGTCCCCCCACCGGCACCACCTGTCGCTATCTCCGTCGCCTCCCTCCTCCACCCCTCCATTCCCTCCCTGCCGCGCCCTGGCGCCGCCTCGTCTCCGTCTGCGTGCGCCTCACCCCCAGTGGGGTAGCGGGCGTGGAAGACGGCGTGCAGGTGCGCCCTCAGCTCTCTGTCAAGTGACGACGTGTCGGCGCCGCGCGTGGCGTCGGGGGCAAACAGGTGCCGCTGGCAGTGGTCCAGGTAGTGCCGGAGGAGGAGGGGGGCTGGGATGGGAAGGGTGAGAGGAGAAGGGAGGAGATAAAAGATAGTGATGAATGCAGGTGAGGAAAAGAAGAAGCACTCAACACGTGGCGCTGGCAGGGCTGCAGGTAGTGGCGCAGGAGCACAGGAGCTAGGGTCCAGTGGGCGCGAATGGCAGGAAGGGAGGGGCGGGGCTGCAGACGGGGGTGAGGGGAGCTGGGGCAGGTGGCAGGGAAGGAGCGAGGGAGTGGCGATGTGGCGAGGGAAGCACAGAGCGGAGGGGAAGAGGTGGAATGAGGAGGACGGGGGGAACAGAAACAAACGAGTGTCTTTCCCTCGTCTCCCACCCCCTGAATCACTCACCTCGCCCTGCTGCTCCATCCGCCCCCCCTCCCGCTGTCCTGCCCCTGCCCCCCTGTGCGGCTGTCTGCGTCTGCAGCTGCAGCAGCTGCTGCCGGCTGCCCTCCACTGCCTTGAGCACCCGCTGCACGTCCCACTCCTCCCCACCCCCACGCCCATCCCTCGCCACCATTCCCCCCTCATCCCCACGCCCCTCGCCTTCCCTCGCCTGCACCTTCCCCTGCGCTGCCCTGCGCTGTGCCACCATGTGCTGCCACCCCGACACAGCGCCCCGTGCCAGCGACACTGTGGCGCGAGGGGCAGCAGCAGCGGCTGAACACACAGCACCCGCAACCCCCGCGCCGCCTGCAGCTGCCACTGCTGCCACTGCTGGAGGTGATGGTGGTGGTGCCGCTGCTGTTGATGCTGCTGCCACAGAGCCGGGATGCCCAGATGCACCAGTTAGCGACCTTGTGTGCGGACTGGCAGATACAGCGGGGGTGTGCGGACTGGCAGATACAGCGGGGGTGTGCGGACTGGCAGATACAGCGGGGGTGTGCGGCGCAGCAGGGGAAGCGCAGGAGGGGGGGGTGGAGGCGGCGGCATTGAGGGACGGCCAGGAGCCGATGGCGAGGGCGAGCTTGAGGGAGGTGAGCACCGCCGCCATGACGTACAGCCGCGTGGGCCAGGCAGAGGGGCGCGCCGCCAGGTGGAAACGCGGCAGCAGGGAGGAGGAGAATGGGGAGGAGGGGAGAGAGGGCGAGGGGCAGAGGAGGTCGAAGAGGCGGTGGAGGAAAGGGGCGAAGAGAGGCAGTGGCAGGTGCAGCTCCTGATGGCACACAGGGCACGCGGGGAGAGGGCGCGCAAGGAGGGCACGCGGGGAGGGCGCACGGGGAGGGCGCGCAGAGCATGGGAAATGGGCAAGGGGCTGCGCAAGCATGAGCGGACGAGGGGCGGGGGAAGCTACAGATTGGACAGGCGGGGTTAGAGGAGGGTTAAAGGGCCGGGTTTGGGAAGGTAAGGGACAAGTGGATTAGCGGGAGAAAGACGGGCGGAGCGGAGATTTGGAAAGTGGGGGTAAGCCGGCAACCAATCAGCACTGGTTTCGGATTCGTATTCGGTATTCGACAAATATCAAGTACAAAACGAATCTGACATCCTGAAGCTATTCGGCAGTATTCGACTCTCAAATATTTGCAAGTTCCGAATATTCAACACTCAAATATTCGATATTCGGGAAAATATTCGTATTCGTGTGAGCCTACCATTCATCTCCCCGACTCCCTTGTCCTCTCAAAATCAGCAGCGCAGTATAAGCAAAATCGGTGAAATCTGAAGGTCGCGCAATTGGCTGATTGCGGCCTCCATAAAACCAATCAATCGTGGACAAAAACGAAAACAGGATTCTTGAGCGTGACATGTTGTTCCATAAACAACCTGCCAAAATCACAGCTACTTCGACAAGATGCCAGGAGTGGAAGTGATTGGGGAGGGGGGTAATAGACTATCAAGGTTAGAGGGGCTATTTCTATCTCGGTCTTCGGTGGGAAGCCCTAGAAGATACCCGAAACCCTGTTCTGACCACCTATTCGTATTCGATTCCGTATTCGTCGCAAAACCGAATATTCGAACCGTATTTGTATTTAAATAGGAAGTGGTATTCGATCAAACACGAAAACACACAAGTATTCGACAAACACTATTTTTTTCCTGCCGTATTCGATACCGTATTCGTTTTTGCAGGCTTAAGTGGGGGGTTGAGCAAGAGCTCTGCCAATGACTTCAAACAGTGCCAGCAGATAGGCTTTTGCACATGGCAGCCAGAGTCCGATGAACGGCTAAGATCATTCCTGCCCGACGGTTCTCATAGCTAAGAAAGCAGACGAAAGGTTGGTAAGGACAGACAGACGAAGGTGCCAGAATGCGCCGCGTTACATTTGGGAGGCAAAAGAGCCCAGCGGCCACAGGCAGGGGGGTGCAAGGCGAAATGCGCATGAGATGGCAGTGCGGGCAGAGGGACTAGCTGCGCAGCAACGCCGCACAACATCAAAGGGGCGGGCACGCAGGCGGCAGAGAAAGAGCAGGGAGCATGGGGGGCAAGCCTCTCAAGTGCCTACTTCCAGAAACGTCTCTCCAGTGAACCGGAAGTTGACCGGGGGCAACCTCAACCCGAGGCAGCATTCGTGGCGGCGAGCAGCTCAAGCGGGCATACGGAGGACAGGGCGAGCAGCTCAAGCGGGCATACGGAGGACAGGGCGAGCAGCTCAAGCCGGCATACGGATGACAGGGCGAGCAGCTCAAGCCGGCATACGGATGACAGGGCGAGCAGCTCAAGCGGGCATACGGAGGACAGGGCGAGCAGCTCAAGCCGGCATACGGAGGACAGGGCGAGCAGCTCAAGCCGGCATACGGAGGACAGGGCGAGCGAGCGGAAGAGAGTCACATAAAGCCCTCCTAGCCTCTGTCATTAAAAACGGCTCTCACCTCCAGAAAGCGCTCCCCAAGGAGGCGGAAGTTGACGGGCGGCAGGGCGAGCCCGATGGCAGCGGCGCCTGACGCCGCCAGCAGCTCCAGCAGGCGCGCGGACGACAGGGCCAGCGGGCGGAACAGCGACGCGGGCGGCACGGACGAGGGGTACCCCTGGAAGGGCGGCAGCTGGCGCCACGCCGACAGGTACGGCAGTGAACCAGCGAGCGCCAGGTGGCAGATGTCGGTGGGGAGGAGCGGCAGGCGCAGGTAGTGGCAGGCGAGGAAGAGCGCGGCGAGCGTGGCGTGCAGGGGCAGGTGCCTGGTGGGGAGGGTGGGGAGAGGGGGGAAGTAGGAGAAAGCGAAACAAGAAAAGGACTTTACTGGCAGGCAAGGAAGAGATGAGTGCGGGTGAAAAGCAGGGGGCAGGTGCCTGGTGGACCAGAGAGGGGCAAGTGGCAATGGCAAGTGGCAATGGCAAGTGGCAATGGCAAGTGGCAATGGCAAGTGGCAATGGCAAGTGGCAATGGCAAGTGGCAATGGCAAGTGGCAATGGCAAGTGGCAATGGCAAGTGGCAATGGCAAGTGGCATGCGCACATGGCATGCACACATGGCTACATCACCACCTCAGCACCTCACATCTGCACCTCGCCTCACATCTGCAGCTCGCCTCACATCTGCAGCTCGCCTCGCATCTGCAGCTCGCCTCACATCTGCACCTCGCCTCACATCTGCAGCTCGCCTCACATCTGCACCTCGCCTCGCATCTGCAGCTCGCCTCACATCTGCAGCTTGGTGGCGACGGCAGAGAAGGGGCTCATCTGAAGCCGCTCAGACAGCGCAAACCACTGCTCCCTCATCGTCGCCTTCTCACTCACACTCCCCCCCCTCCCTCCTCCCTCTTCCTCCTCCTCTTTCCCTCCCCTCCCCCCGCCTCCCCCCCCTCCTCTTCTCCCCCCCTCTCCGCCTGCTCGTCCTCCCTGATGGCCTGCAGCTCCGCCTCAAACCGCCCCCACTTCTTCCTCCTCGCCCGCCTCCCCCGCCTCCTCTCCTCCGCCTTCTCCCTCTTCCTACTCCGCCTCCTGCCTTCCAGTATCTCCCTCAACTCCCCACCCCAATCACCCTCCTCCCCAATACCAGGTGCGCCGTGACTCTCCCCGTCCCCCCTCTCTGCAGCGCCTCCCATGCCCCCGAACAGCCCAAGTCCCTCTGCCATGCCCCATCCCGCCATCTCTCTTTCCACCGCCTCTGCCTCCTTCCCCCCCATGCCCTCCCCGCCTCTTCCATTCTCGCCACCCAAATTCGCGCCCCCTCGCCCTATATCCCCCCACTACCCCCTCCCCCAACCCCTCCCCCGCCCCCGTCCCTGTCCCCCTCCCCCCACGCGTGCCTCCCCGCCCCCTCGCCGGCGCGCCAGAACAGCCAGCAGCGTTCGGGGAAGCACTGTTTGAGCGCGCCAGACTGCAGCACGAGGCGCACGAAGATCTGCCGTGCCACGCTGCGCAGCGCCACGGCCGTGGCGTGCTGCTGGCTTCTCAACTCCGTGCTGGCCCCCCCTGAGGCCGGGGGTGCGGGCGGGAAGAGCAGCGAGGAGAGCGCGTGGCACTGCAGCGCCAGCATGCGCTGCAGCCCCGTGCAGTAGTGCTCCGACAGCGCTTGCGCCTGAGGGGTCGTCCACGGAGGAGGAAAGGAAGGGTGCGGAGGCAGAGGGCGACAGGGGGGAAAGAGGAAGAAGGGCTACTGACAAGTGCCACACTTGGCGCAGGGCCCCCTGTGAGGCTGAAGAGCAGCTCCTGGCAGTGGCCGTGCCACAGAGCATGCGTGTGGAGGCGTGGCACGGAGGAAAGGGGAAAGGTGGCAGGAAGGGAGCGAGAGGCAGGGGCGGCAAGGCATGGCTTGAAGTGGACGCATGGCAGTACAAGGGCCTGGCTGCTGCTCTCCCTCACCATTGCATGTGGTGGCACCCAATCACACAAAGCCCCACCTGGACTCCACTCAATGCTCCACCTCCACTAAAGCCCCACCTGGCTGGCTGTCTCGACAGTCCTGGCAGCATCGGCCCTGGCGACTCCTCCCACTGCGCCAGGTTGTTCTCTCTTATCACCATCGGCACCAGCACTTAAAGCCCCACGAGCACTTGAAGGCTGACAGCCTCAACGGCTCAAGCCGCATCAGCTCTAGCTGCGCCCTGCCTCTGCTGCTGGTGCAGCGCCAGGATGCTCTCCCTCATCACCGCATGCGATGGCATGGACAGGCTTAAAGCCCCACCTGCAACCAAACCCACCTGCACTTGCAGGCTGACGGCCTGCACGGCCCTGGCAGCGTCGGCCCTGGCGACGTCCTCCCGTTGCTGGTGCGCCGCCAGGTTGCTCTCCCGAATCACCGCCTGCGACGGCCCGCCCGCCCCCCCTTCGTCGCCATCCTCCTCCCTGAACTCCTGCGACACGATGCCGCACACGCTGCACCGCATGTCGCCCGTGTGCGCGTCCTGGTTGGGGGGAATCAACGGGTGAGGGTTGAAGGAGTGCCATTGCTCTCGCAACTCCCCACACCCCACGTCCCACACACTGTGCCACAGGATTTGAAGATCAGGATTCAGCTATTTACGTTCCTCCGTGCACTCCTCCGGCATGACGTCACACACGCTGCACTGTATGTCGCCCTCTGGGGTTGGGGTTGAGGGTTTAAGGATCCGCATTGTTATCTGCACTGCAGTACCATCTCGCATACCCCGCACCGCTTCTCACGAGGCCTGTACGTGTCGCAAGGACACGGTGTGAAGGCTGAGGTTAGGGGTTCAAGGGAATTGGGGTTGAAGGGTCCTAGTGGAGAGGGGTTTAGAGCGGGGCTTCGGGTTCACAGTGCCCCTCATGGCTGCTTGCTGTGCCTCACAAGACCCTGTGTCCGCGTTACAGGCGCGTGTGGCGTGCAAGCGGATCCGTGGACCCGACCATCGTTCAGCGGCAGCACGGGATGAAGGAAGGGCGTGACGGTTGTGGGCTGACGCAACTGAAAGCCGTCATTTTTTCAGCTCAACCGATCGACACCGGATGGCACTGCAGCGCACCTGCTCCATGCAGTTGACGCTGAAGCACACGAGGCACATCTGCTGCTCGCTGCCCGCCATGGCTGCGCCTATGCTCGTCGGGCGACTCCAAATTGCCGCGTCTCCCCGCTGCTCCACGCCTCTCCGCCGCCGAACGGCTGATTCGAGTCCGACGCACCACCGAAACGCCTCTCCGACGCACCGAAACGCCTCTCCAACGCACCGAAACGCCTCTCCGACGCACCGAAACGCCTCTCCGACGCACCGAAACGCCTCTCCGACGCACCGAAACGCCTCTCCGCCGCACCGAAACGCCTCTCCGACGCACCGAAACGCTTCTCCGACGCACCGAAACGCCTCTCCTACGCACCGAAACGCCTCTGCGACGCACCGAGACGCCTCTCCTACGCACCCAACGCTGCTCGACGCTTCTCTACCACCGAAAGGCCACTCCGAGTCTTTCGCCGCGCTCCCTGCTGCTCGTTGTTCCTACTAGTAGTCGCCTCCACGCGATCGTCCCGTCCCTCAACCTCCGCACCGCAGTGAACCGTCGCTAGGGGCGTGGTTGGAGGCGTGGCTAGGGGCGTCGCTAGGGAGGTGGCGACTGCGAAGAAAAGAGAGAGGTTGGACTAGAAGGGAGAGAGAAAAGAGAGAGGTTGGCAGCTTCGACGACGGCGGCGGCGACTGCGAAGCTCGCGGCATACGGCGACGTGGCACGGCCCGTTGACGACGGGGAAGAAAGTCATCAGCTGTGGCTGGGATAAGGGGAGGCGCAGGAGAGGGGGGCGTGGTTTCAGCGAGGCGCCCTGGCTGGCGCGCTGGCTGTCGTGCGGGCGTGCTGGCTGGCGCCTAAACCAGTGCGCGGCCCGCTGCCGTTCATGCGCTGGCGCGTTGACGCCGCCACAGCAGCACGACGAAGCGGCCACGGCGTGGCGTTGACGCCATGGTAGAGCGTCGAGGCCGCCACGGCAGCGCGTCGAGGCCGCCACGGCAGCGCGTCGAGGCCACCTCGGCAACCGTTCACGGGACTTATTGCTGACGGCGAGTCGATAATGCAACTTATTGCTAACGGCTAGCCGTTGAAAAGACGCACTGTTGACGGCGAGCCACTCGTTGAGGTCTTCCTCTGGCGGAAGCCTGACGGCCTCCCGGAGGTTACCGCTGCCGAGCGTGGCATCGATGTGCTTGCGGAGCTGCTGACCTTGCGGGAAGGAGAAATCGGAAGCGATAAGTGGGAAGATAGGGATTTAGGTTACACAGAATCGGATGTAAGGGAGTAGGGACAGTGCTCATGCGGAGCTGCCACCGCGGCGCGTCAGTAGGAGGAGAGGAGTGCTATGCGGAAGCGTAAGGAGAAGGCCCAAGCAAAAGGACCTGTTCTGAAACCAAGTCGAAGAAGTTAAAGCGAGCGGACAGACCAAACTCAAGACTCAAAGGTATTGAGTTGTACTACACGCGAAAACGGGCGCGACAGAAACACGGTAACCAAATACACACCCGAGGGGTGCGATTTTGAGATCGGGGAGAGGTGACGTGCTATGCGACGCCCGTCCCAACCCAGCGACGGAACAAGCAAAGCCTTTCCACCCGCCACACCAAGATCCAAAGCTTTTGCTCTTTACTCTGTACTCAGTGGCAATGGCTCCTTCCCGCCATTCTCGCTCGCGAACACAGTGCTTACCTACCATGTCAGTAGAAAAATGTGCGTCTCTGGTAGCGGAACCAAGTTCCAGTAACACTAACAACTACTTCGTACCAAATCGCGCCCCCGCGCAGCATGCTAGTCCCGAACCAGCACGCAACACAAGCACTCCAGGGCGCGCTACGGAAAGACCTGAACAGCTATATCCTCGCCAGCGCCAATCCCGCCCTAACGCTGCGCCAATCCCGCCATAACGCTGCGCCAATCCCGCCCTAACGCTGCGCCAATCCCGCCCTAACGCTGCGCCGATCCCGCCCTGACGCAGCGCCAATCCCGCCCTTACGCAGCGCCAATCCCTCGCTAGCCCAGCGCCAATCCCTCGCTAGCCCAGCGCCAATCCCTCGCTAGCCCAGCGCCAATCCCTCGCTAGCCCAGCGCCAATCCCTCGCTAGCCCGACGCGTCACACCACATAGTACCCCGCTCTGCGACGCGCTTGCCCTGTCCGCCTCTCTCCCATGGTCCCCTTTCCCATGGTCCCCTCTCCCATGCTCCTGGCAGGAAGGGGGGATTGCTTCCATGCTACGGAAGGGGGAGAAGCAGGAAAGTGGAAGGGGGGGAAGCAGGGCAGTGGAAGGGGGGGAAGCAGGGCAGTGGAAGGGGGGGAAGCAGAGCAGTGGAAGGGGGGGAAGCAGGGCAGTGGAAGGGGGGGAAGCCGGGCAGTGGAAGGGGGGGAAGCCGGGCAGTGGAAGGGGGGGAAGCTAGGCAGTGGGAGGGGGGGAAGCAGGGAAGTGGAAGGGGGGGAAGCAGGGCAATGAAAGGGGGGGAAGCATGGCAGTGGAAGGGGGAGAAGCAGGGCAGTGGAAGGGGGGGAAGCCAGGCAGTGGAATGGGGGGAAGCAGGGCAGTGGAAGGGGGGGAAGGAGGGCAGTGGAAGGGGGGGAAGCAGGGCAGTGGGAGGGGGGGAAGCAGGGAAGTGGAAGGGGGGAAGCCAGGCAGTGGAAGGGGGGGAAGCAGGGCAGTGGAAGGGGGGGAAGCAGGGCAGTGGAAGGGGGGGAAGCAGGGCTGTGGAAGGGGGGGAAGCAGGGCAGTGGAAGGGGGGGAAGCCGGGCAGTGGAAGGGGGGGAAGCAGGGCAGTGGGAGGGGGGGAAGCATGGCAGTGGAAGGGGGGGAAGCAGGGCAGTGGAAGGGGGGGAAGCCGGGCAGTGGAAGGGGGGGAAGCAGGGCAGTGGAAGGGGGGGAAGCAGGGAAGTGGAAGGGGGGGAAGCAGGGCTGTGGAAGGGGGGGAAGCAGGGCAGTGGAAGGGGGGGAAGCAGGGCAGTGGAAGGGGGGGAAGCAGGGAAGTGGAAGGGGGGGAAGCAGGGCAATGAAAGGGGGAAAAGCATGGCATTGGAAGGGGGGGAAGCAGGGCAGTGGAAGGGGGGGAAGCCAGGCAGTGGAAGGCGGGGAAGCAGGGCAGTGGAAGGGGGGGAAGCAGGAAAGTGGAAGGGGGGGAAGCAGGGCAGTGGAAGGGGGGGAAGCAGGGCAGTGGAAGGGGGGGAAGCAGGGCAGTGGGAGGGGGGGAAGCAGGGAAGTGGAAGGGGGGGAAGCAGGGCAGTGGGAGGGGGGGAAGCAGGGCTGTGGAAGGGGGGGAAGCAGGGCAGTGGAAGGGGGGGAAGCCGGGCAGTGGAAGGGGGGGAAGCAGGGCAGTGGGAGGGGGGGAAGCATGGCAGTGGAAGGGGGGGAAGCAGGGCAGTGGAAGGGGGGGAAGCAGGGCTGTGGAAGGGGGGGAAGCAGGGCAGTGGAAGGGGGGGAAGCCGGGCAGTGGAAGGGGGGGAAGCAGGGCAGTGGGAGGGGGGAAGCATGGCAGTGGAAGGGGGGAAGCAGGGCAGTGGAAGGGGGGGAAGCCGGGCAGTGGAAGGGGGGGAAGCAGGGCAGTGGAAGGGGGGGAAGCAGGGAAGTGGAAGGGGGGGAAGCAGGGCTGTGGAAGGGGGGGAAGCAGGGCAGTGGAAGGGGGGGAGCAGGGAAGTGGAAGGGGGGGAAGCAGGGCAGTGGGAGGGGGGGAAGCAGGGAAGTGGAAGGGGGGGAAGCCAGGCAGTGGAAGGGGGGGAAGCAGGGCAGTGGAAGGGGGGGAAGCAGGGCAGTGGAAGGGGGGGAAGCCGGGCTGTGGAAGGGGGGGAAGCAGGGCAGTGGAAGGGGGGGAAGCCGGGCAGTGGAAGGGGGGGAAGCAGGGCAGTGGGAGGGGGGAAGCAGGGAAGTGGAAGGGGGGGAAGCAGGGCAGTGGAAGGGGGGGAAGCCGGGCAGTGGAAGGGGGGGAAGCAGGGCAGTGGAAGGGGGGGAAGCAGGGAAGTGGAAGGGGGGGAAGCAGGGCTGTGGAAGGGGGGGAAGCAGGGCAGTGGAAGGGGGGGAAGCAGGGCAGTGGAAGGGGGGGAAGCAGGGAAGTGGAAGGGGGGGAAGCAGGGCAATGAAAGGGGGAAAAGCATGGCATTGGAAGGGGGGGAAGCAGGGCAGTGGAAGGGGGGGAAGCCAGGCAGTGGAAGGCGGGGAAGCAGGGCAGTGGAAGGGGGGGAAGCAGGAAAGTGGAAGGGGGGGAAGCAGGGCAGTGGAAGGGGGGGAAGCAGGGCAGTGGAAGGGGGGAAGCAGGGCAGTGGGAGGGGGGGAAGCAGGGAAGTGGAAGGGGGGGAAGCAGGGCAGTGGGAGGGGGGGAAGCAGGGCTGTGGAAGGGGGGGAAGCAGGGCAGTGGAAGGGGGGGAAGCCGGGCAGTGGAAGGGGGGGAAGCAGGGCAGTGGGAGGGGGGGAAGCATGGCAGTGGAAGGGGGGAAGCAGGGCAGTGGAAGGGGGGGAAGCAGGGCTGTGGAAGGGGGGGAAGCAGGGCAGTGGAAGGGGGGAAGCCGGGCAGTGGAAGGGGGGAAGCAGGGCAGTGGGAGGGGGGGAAGCATGGCAGTGGAAGGGGGGGAAGCAGGGCAGTGGAAGGGGGGGAAGCCGGGCAGTGGAAGGGGGGGAAGCAGGGCAGTGGAAGGGGGGGAAGCAGGGAAGTGGAAGGGGGGAAGCAGGGCTGTGGAAGGGGGGGAAGCAGGGCAGTGGAAGGGGGGGAGCAGGGAAGTGGAAGGGGGGGAAGCAGGGCAGTGGGAGGGGGGAAGCAGGGAAGTGGAAGGGGGGGAAGCCAGGCAGTGGAAGGGGGGAAGCAGGGCAGTGGAAGGGGGGGAAGCAGGGCAGTGGAAGGGGGGAAGCCGGGCAGTGGAAGGGGGGAAGGAGGGCAGTGGAAGGGGGGAAGCAGGGAAGTGGAAGGGGGGGAAGCAGGGCAATGGGAGGGGGGGAAGCAGGGAAGTGGAAGGGGGGGAAGCAGGGCAGTGGAAGGGGGGGAAGCAGGGCAGTGGGAGGGGGGGAAGCAGGGCAATGAAAGGGGGGGAAGCATGGCAGTGGAAGGGGGGGAAGCAGGGCAGTGGAAGGGGGGGAAGCTAGGCAGTGGGAGGGGGGGAAGCAGGGAAGTGGAAGGGGGGGAAGCAGGGCAGTGGGAGGGGGGGAAGCAGGGCAATGAAAGGGGGGGAAGCAGGGAAGTGGAAGGGGGGGAAGCAGGGCAGTGGGAGGGGGGGAAGCAGGGAAGTGCAAGGGGTATGGATGGTAGGGAGGGGGGTTGGTCGTCTTGAATTGCCCCTTGGTGTCAATAGCTCCGGCCACTCCATTCCTCCCTGTATTTAACGAGACGGATCCTCCGCCCCCCAATCAGCACCTGCGTCCCCATCCACTTCCTGTCGTATCCTCATCCATCCCACCTCCTCTCCTCCTCCATCTCACTGGCAGGCCATCCAGGACCCACTCGGCAAGGCATCACGTGTGCAAGCTCCCAACACCCAACCCAAGCCCACCCATTCTTTCGAGCTGGTGGTTCAATAAGACCAGCCGCAAGCGGCCCATTCTGGCTTGGTAGGTCTCAGAGCCATAGACCGTGGGTTTGTAAAGCCCCCTAGATGATGTAAAGAGGCTAGTTGTATTAATAAATATCACCCTGTCGAGACCATTGGAAGCATAACCTCCCCCGATGGATATAAGTATCACGCCTTGAAATGTTTTGTACCCCTTGCCAGTGAGCGATTGTGGCCATCACAAGGCATCCGTGTTAGTGGGACATGTGCGGTTATATTTATGATGCACAAGAATAATCCACACCAACCCCGCCCGGCCAACACCCCAACGGCACCACGGGCGTGCACCACAATCGCCGCCCAGATTACCGACGCTGCCGCCAGTGGGAACGCGTGTTACCCTCGCCCCCAAACCTATCCCACCCAGTCTTCCACTATGGGAGCCTCCACTTTTGCTTCATGCCCAAGTATTGGGCTTGGCTCCACGCATGGCAGCGAGGTGTGCCCGGAGACTTCCTGCAGTGGGGAAGGGTTGGAGAGGGAGGTAAATGGTGGAGTAAGGAGGGGCTTGGAGGTGAAGATGCCACTTCCACATAGCACCTGCCCACGCAATATCCATCAGACATGGCTGGGTGCATATGCGCCATGCCTATGCATCTTGCACACAAGCCACACCTCGCTGACCACGCTCCACACCCCGCTGACCCACACACTTACTCACCCTTTTTCACACCACCCGTACTGCATACACCCCTCACCCACGCGCTGCGCACCTCTCTCAATTGCAAGCAGCTCACCTCGCCATACCCCATTGGTGTGTACCCCTCTCACCTGCGCACTGCATACCCCCGCTAGAGCCGCACCCGATGCCGGCTCAATATCTAGTGGACCCACTCCACCACTGCCACCCGCCACTCTCCCTCCCCCCCCCCCCCCCCCCCTCCCATCACTGCCTTTCTTTAAGAACAGACCATCATCCCACGCTTCAAACCACGCTTGGCCTTCTCACCACTTCTCTGCCCACCCATCTCTCCCTCGCTGCACCCATCCCTCTCTCCCTCTCTCTGCCCACCCAGCTCTCCCTTGCTCTGCCCACCTCTGGGCAGCCCACGATGCTCCCCGCTCTCTCCCCTGCTCTGCCCATCCCTCACAGCGGTGAGGGTGGCATCTGAAGTGCAATGGCATGAGTTGGCAGAGTAGCATGGGGTAGGGGAAAGAGCAGGGACTGCAGTGCGATGGGCTGAGGGTAAAGTGTGGATGGGGGAAGGGGGGAGCATCGTCGTGTATTAGTGTTGGAAGGGAGAGGGATCCATCGGAGAATGGACGACTTATTTTTCCACTTCTGTGAGGCAGTCTCATGCGTCCATCGCCCATCGACTCCCAAATCCCAATACTGCATCCCCTACCAAAGATCCAAAACGCCTTACCCTTTTGTGCTTCGTAGGCTTGCCCTTGGCGTGCGCCACCCCATCCATTGCCCTCAGCCAGTCTATACTTTCCGGCCTCTGTCCACTTGTAGAGCGGAAACCCAAATCTGACCCCACGGAGAGCCCCAGTGGTTCGCGCTAGGAGTTGTGCGGCAGAGGCAGGTCCATCTCGCAAACGGCTCGCGAATATGATCCCGTATGCTTTCTTGTGTCCCTCCAACAGCTTTGCTGTGGCCTTGGCATCGTCTTGGGGGACTGTGAGATTGGTAGATATATGACACGTGGGATGTGTGCAAGATTGGGCCCACAATCTCTGTTGGTAAGATCCCAATGAAACACCACCCACATCTGCCGCCCATCATTATCAAGCTCACCTGCAGCTAGCACAGCCTTCTCAAGGCTCTCCACTACGGCCTTGGCATGTTGGGCAAGGAAAAAAATCAGATCGTCCACTGTGGCGACCCTGTCCTGTAGCCTACACTTCCCCGTCAAACCCACACGCCACACCGCGACGAGAGGACCCATGTGGCATGTCATGGACACCGTGCCTCGCCGGGCCTCTGACACCGCCTGCTGCGCTGGGTGTGTCCCTCCTCCCACAGGCCTAACCATTTTGCACGTGCACTTCTGGCTGTCAGCAAACGATGGGAGGGGGGGAAGGAGAGGTAGGGGTGGAGTGTGTCGCCAAATGAGCAGGGAGGCTTGACTATGGATGGGGCGGTGGTGCACTCTGGATGGGATGGTGGTGGATTGTGGATGGTGAGGAAGTGGACTTTGGATGGGGGGAGGGTGGACTCTGAATGGGGGGAGCTGGAATCTGGATGGGGGGAGGTGGACTCTGGAAGGGGGGAGCGTGGACTTTGAATGGGGGGAGCTGGACTCTGGATGGGGGGAGGTGGACTCTGGAAGGGGGGAGCGTGGACTCTGAATGGGGGGAGCTGGACTCTGGATGGGGGGAGGTGGACTCTGGATGGAGGGAGGTGGATTCTGAACGCGAGGGTGGTGCACTTTGGATGGGGGCGGTGGGCTCGGGGCTGTGAGGGTTGGGGTACAGTGGTGTGAGGGCAGGGGAGAGAAGGGAGGCATCTCGTGGTGAGTGGCAAGGAGGTCGAAGTGGGGGACGGGGGGGGGGAGGGTACTGGAGCGCGGGTTGAATGGTTGTCGAGGGAGGGGAGGCGGGGGCCTGGCTTGGGGGGGAGGGCGGAAAGGGTGGGTAAAAGGGTTAAAAGGGGTAGGATTGGGGCATGACGGGCATGACATACAGTGGCAGTTACTGGTTCTGTTTGTGGAGGACAGAGGGGGGTGTTTGGTGTGTAGTGGCGCCTTTGTTTGTAAAAGACGGGCCTTAGGGCCTGCTGCATGTACCCCCTCTCTCTGCTGTAGTCGTACTCTGTCACCCCGCATCATTGGTCTATCCGCGTCCCCATTTTGCTGCCGTATCTCTCACAGGTACACTCGTTTGAACCTACTCACCGCTCCCCCCCCCCCCTTTCCCAGTTCGTTTCCATCCCCTGCTCTCCCAACCCTCTCAGATAGCTGAGAGGGGAGATAGCTGAGAGGTGATATAGCTGAGAGATGAGATAGCTGAGAGGTGAGATAGCTGAGAGGGGAGAAAGAGGGGAGATAGCTGATTGGGGAGATAGCTGAGAGGTGAGATAGCTGAGAGGTGAGATAGCTGAGAGGGGAGATAGCTGAGAGGTGAGATAGCTGAGAGGGGAGATAGCTGAGAGGTGAGATAGCTGAGAGGGGAGATAGCTGAGAGGGGAGATAGCTGAGAGGGGAGAAAGAGGGGAGCTAGCTGATTGGGGAGATAGCTGAGAGGTGAGATAGCTGAGAGGTGAGATAGCTGAGAGGGGAGATAGCTGAGAGGTGAGATAGCTGAGAGGGGAGATAGCTGAGAGGGAAGATAGCTGAGAGGGGAGAAAGAGGGGAGCTAGCTGATTGGGGAGATAGCTGAGAGGTGAGATAGCTGAGAGGTGAGATAGCTGAGAGGGGAGATAGCTGAGAGGTGAGTTAGCTGAGAGGTGAGATAGCTGAGAGGGGAGATAGCTGAGAGGTGAGATAGCTGAGAGGTGAGATAGCTGAGAGGGGAGATAGCTGAGAGGGGAGAAAGAGGGGAGATAGCTGATTGGGGAGATAGTTGAGAGGGGAGATAGCTGTTCTCGCTCTACCGCAATATGCCCTTCTCCCTCGCCGTGTCCCTGGCGTTTGGGCCGAAAATAAGCGCTGTTCTTGCTCTACCGCAATATGCCCTTCTCCCTCGCCGTATCCCTGCGCATTTCTCATTGTTTCTCTCGCCTCACTCTCTCTCTCTTCCCTATTTTGTGGTGCCGAATCCCCTCTACTGCACGGTTCCGCTTTGCCGCCCAACCCTATCTCTCTTCCTTGCCACCATTCAGCCAGACCCGCGTTCCTCGCAAATCTCCCACCGCACCTGTTGGAGTGGTTCCGCCACCCACAACGGACTACTCGTGACTTGGGGTGACGAGGAGAGAAATGCGGACTTGGGGACGAGAAGGAACTAGGAAGCGGGTATTGCGTGAGCGTGAGGTGTACGGAAAGGAGAGAAGCAAGAGAGAAGGTTGAAGGAAAGAGTGATTGAGTGGAAGAAAGGAATGGAAGTGGCGAGAAACAGATTGACGTGGGGCAAAAGTTGGGTTTCGGACGGGGCATGTTCAACAAGCATTCGGACTTCGGACCAGTGGCGTGTTCAGCAAGATAGTCGCGGTTGTGTGTGCGACTCGGCTTGACACGAAGCGCGCAAGTTACTCGCAGCGCACACGACAGTTACGAAGCGCGAAATTGCTTGTACTTCCACTATAAATCTGTTTGAACATTTGTTCTTTGTATCTCATTGTTTCTAGTGGAAATTGCTGCCATTTCGTATTGATGATTAGCAGCTACTTTGAGATCACTTTTGGAGGCAAGGCCCTTGAGGCTATTTGCACAAGTATTTCCAAATACTTTGTTCGCTGCGCCGGAGGCGATAGTCGCCTAGAACTGGTATCAGAGCTAGCGTCGGAGTGCTGGCGAAATTTCTCCGCGACTCTATTTAGTGCGCCAAGTGGAGCCGGGTGTAAGGGCGTTGTAGCATTCTAAAGAGTAGGACGAAGCCTCAAGAATGACATGCGATATTGGAGAGGCTAGTTCGGGCTCCTCTGTGAGCATTGGAGACCCCCAGGTTAAGGCTCTTTTAGAATTGCTAGCGCATGGGTCGTTGGTAGCGAAACCAACGATAGGGCTCAGTGAAGCCCAGCACTTTAATGGCAGTAACTATAGTACGTGGCGCTTGAAGTTCATAAGGAGAGCGAAGGAGGTAGGATTATGGCAATTCTACCGTCGAGGTGAGAAGGCCGAAGGAGTAGTAACTACAAGCAACCAAGAGGAGGATTCGGGATATCAGAAAAGGAGTGAGCAAGCATTCTTTCAGTTGTGCCATTCTGTTTCTGATGGAATTGCTGTGGGCCTGGATAAGTTTTCAGGCGAGAAAAATCCGGCTCAAGTGGCGTGGGCATACATGGAGTCAGCCTACCTCGGCCAAATGGAGATGAACATCGCTGCGGTGAGGAGGAAGCTGCTTTTGCTGAGTATGGAGCCGAAGGAAGCCGTCATCGAATACATCAATCGAGCAAAGAGCTACAACGACGATTTGGCCGCAATGGGAGCTGAGGAGAACGAAAAGGCAATGATGGGTTACATTGTCAACGGGCTCTCGAAGGAGTGGGCATCAGATCGACCTGCGTTGATTTGCAATCCACCTGCAAATATGACGAAGCTTTGGAGATGCTGCAAGCCTTGGCGATATCCAAGGAGGATGTGACACGACGGGAGAAAGCGGCCCAAGGAGAAAATGGGGCTGCGGGTGTGGAGCAGGAGAAGCCTGCAATGGTGAATGCAGTCGCTGCAGGGAGAGGCATGGGTGCATGCTTCCACTGCGGCAAGATGGGGCATAAGGCATTTGACTGCTATGATAACCCGAGGAGCCGCAACTACAAGGGGAAAGGTGCTCCTGGTATGGGATGGAATGGAGTGCAGCAGAGTGGGGAAGGGGGTAGCAGAGGAGATAGTAGGCAGCAGAGGGGAAAGTTCTTTGGAGCTTGCCACCACTGCAAGAAGATAGGGCATAGAGCTATCGATTGCTACTCGAACCCCAACAGCCGGAGTTACAGGGGAACACAGCAGCAAGGTTCGGCACCGGCAAAGGCACATGCAGCTGAAGCAGAAAAGAGGGAAGCTGATGTTATTTTGGGTGGTGCACATAAGGCGAATGTTGCGCGTGCATCAGGGGTGTGCCTGATGGCAAAAGGGGGTGGAGAAGCTGCATGGTATATGGACAGTGGGTGCACACAGCATATGACCAATCACAGTGAGTGGCTGAATGCTTTGAGGGCATCAAGTGTGCCGTATGTGCTTGTGGGAGATGATCGGAAATTGCTTGTGAAGGGAGAGGGAGATCTGATTTTGCAAGGGCAGTATGGGGAGTTGAAACTGGAGAATGTGCTGCTGGTTGATGGTCTGTCACTGAATTTGATCAGTCAGTCACAGCTTGACAACACTGGATGCAAGACATTCAGTAACAAGGGCAGCGTGTGGATGTTTGACCATGCGTGGAATGTGGTTGCTAAGGGCATGTTGAAGAATGGGTTGTATGAAATGCTGTTGAATGAGAAGGGCATGACAGCTGAGAAGGTTACCTACCAGCAGCCGACGGAGGAAGGGGTGCTGGCAAGGGAGGAGCTGCGGGCGAGCTTGAAAAGTGTACCTGTAGAGGAGCTGCGGAAGGAAGCGGTATCGATGGTGGCAGCAGCGGCTAAGGTAGACATGGAGACCCTGCATAGGAGGTTGGGACATGCAGGGATGGAGCGGATTAAGGAGTTGGTGCAGAAAGAAATGAAAGTTGGAGTGGAACTGAAGGATGGGGATGGGAGCAAGGGGAAGTGTGACAAGTGTGTGGAGGGCAAAATCACCAAATCCCCCCATCCCAAGCATCAGGTGCAGGAGCCATATGGAGCGCTGGAGATAGTAGCAGCTGATGTGTGTGGGCCGCTGAGGGTGGCATCCAGGCACGGGAGCAAATACTTTGTCACCTTTACAGACTTAGGGACTAGGCACACATGGGTGACTGAGCTTAAGGATAAGACGGAGGTCTTCTCTAGTTTTCTGGACTGGATGGTGGAAGCAGAAAGGCAGAGTGGGAAGCAGCTGAAGGTGCTGAGAACTGACAATGGTGGGGAGTTTGTCAATGAGGAGTTCAACAGCTACTTGCGCTCCAAGGGGATTCTGAGGCAATTGACAGTGCCTTACACTCCACAGCACAACAGTATAGCGGAGAGGGTGAATAGGTCACTGCTGGACTGTGTAAGGACATTGCTAGCGGACAACGGATTACCACTGAAGTTCTGGGGAGATGCCTTGGGGATGGCTTGTTGGGTCAAGAACAGGCTACCTACCAAGGGCTTGGCAGCAGATATGACCCCACATGAAGCATTCTATGGGAGGAAGCCGAATATGGGGTTGGCTCGCGTATGGGGCTGCATGGTGCAGTACAGGGAGCCAGCTGGACCAGCCCATAAGCTACTACCTAGAAGTAAGTGGGGGCTTAACCTTGGGATGTGCATGGTGAGCAAAGGATGGGTGATCAAGGATGTGGAGATAGGGAAGGTGGTGGTGACCAGAGATGTGATATTCTATGAGAATGTCACCTACTTGAAGTGGAAAGGGGTGAGTTCGGAGATTGCAACGGCAGGGGAAGCAGCTAACCTAGAGAAGGTGGAAGGGCTGCTGGAGGAGACATCGATTGAAGGGATTGGAGATGAAGTAGAGGAGATTGCAGAAGAAGAAGCACATACTTGGGTGTGGGAGCTTCCAGAGAAAATGGCTGCACAGGGGAGAAAGGAGATGGAGCAGCAGGAGATAAAGCGAGAGGAGAAGGATGCAACGACTGAGGTGGAGATGGCACCAAGGGAGAGTGAGCAGGGATCAACTGCACGAGATGGTCACGATCCATGGAAGCTGCTAGATAGTACAGACAGTCGTGAAGCAGAGAAGGAGATTGAGGAACTACTGGAGGATGGGGCAACAGTGATAGGGGTACTAGGACAGGACGAGCAAGAGGCAGCTGAGAAGGAGAACAGTGAGGTGGAGTCACTTGCTGAGGAGTTGGGGCGAGGGAAGAGGGAGAAGAAGAGAAACCCTAAGTACGTTCACTTGCTCATGACTCCATGGAAGAACGTGCATACCCATCTTCTCCTAACCATATCAGCAACTGCACTAGTATCACGGGCAAGACGGGAGGCGTATGGGCTGCCTAATGAGCCCTTAACAGTGGAAGAGGCCTTGACAGGACCACAAAAGGAGCAGTGGAGAGCTGCTATTCAGGAGGAGCTGGATACACTAGCAGAGAGGGGCACTTGGGAGTTAATGCCCATGCCAGAGGGAAGGAGTGCAGTCGGGGTAAAATGGGTCTTCAAGATTAAGACAGGAGACAAGGGGCAGCTGGAGCGGTTTAAGGCTAGGTTAGTGGCAAAGGGCTACACACAGGTAGAGGGGATCGACTATACCGATACTTATGCTCCTGTAAGCAAGCTGACGACTGCAAGGGCATTTCTCAAGGTAATAGCAGCAAGGAACTACTTTCTAGTGCAGCTGGACATCAAGAACGCTTTTCTGCATGGGGTAGTTAAGGAGGAGCTGTATATGGAGCAGCCACCAGGGTTTGAGGACGGCACTAACAAGAAGTGCAAGCTTATTAAAGCACTATACGGTCTGAAGCAGAGTCCCAGGGAGTGGAACAAGGTGATGGACGAGAGGCTGCTGAAAGGGGGATTTCATAAGAGTGAGTGTGACAGGGCGTTCTACTGGAGGGGAGCTGGAAAGGAGAAGGTGTACCTACTGCTCTACGTGGATGATATTCTAGTGGCAGGGGCACTTCCAGGGGAGGTAGAAAAGGTGTGTGAGCACCTCGCTGAAGTGTTCCAAGTGAAGCAGATTCCGAGGACGACGCTGTTTCTGGGGATGAATCTGGAGAGGAACAGGGAAGAGAGGAAGCTGTTCTTATATCAGCAGAAGTACTGCAAGAGGGTGGAGCAGAAGTTTGGTCATGGCTATGCGAAAGACATTACTACACCGCTAAGTGGAATGGCAGAAAGTGATAATGAGAGTGAAGAGGATGTGCTGAAGTGGGATGGTCAGGAGTGGGCGCTGCAGATGTACCAGTCTATGGTGGGACAAGGCAAAGAACGACAACTGGCACGGGAGGACTAAGCACATGGATGTGAAATATCACTGGGTGAGGGAGCAGTTAGAGAAGCAGCAGTTCAAGTTCGAGTTTGTGCGCACTGAGGAGCAGGCAGCTGATTTCTTGACCAAGGTGCTGCCAAGGGCCAACTTTGAGTACTGTAAGGAGAAGGTCGGGATACGTACCTTGAAGGACATGCAGGGGAGTGTGAAGGTAACTTAGAGGGTGTGGCTGGCAGAACCACAGGGGAGGTTGTTGGAGTGGTTCCGCCACCCACAACGGACTACTCGTGACTTGGGGTGACGAGGAGAGAAATGCGGACTTGGGGACGAGAAGGAACTAGGAAGCGGGTATTGCGTGAGCGTGAGGTGTACGGAAAGGAGAGAAGCAAGAGAGAAGGTTGAAGGAAAGAGTGATTGAGTGGAAGAAAGGAATGGAAGTGGCGAGAAACAGATTGACGTGGGGCAAAAGTTGGGTTTCGGACGGGGCATGTTCAACAAGCATTCGGACTTCGGACCAGTGGCGTGTTCAGCAAGATAGTCGCGGTTGCGTGTGCGACTCGGCTTGACACGAAGCGAGCAAGTTACTCGCAGCGCACACGACAGTTACGAAGCGCGAAATTGCTTGTACTTCCACTATAAATCTGTTTGAACATTTGTTCTTTGTATCTCATTGTTTCTAGTGGAAATTGCTGCCATTTCGTATTGACGATTAGCAGCTACTTTGAGATCACTTTTGGAGGCAAGGCCCTTGAGGCTATTTGCACAAGTATTTCCAAATACTTTGTTCGCTGCGCCGGAGGCGATAGTCGCCTAGAGCACCTGCGGGTCGATCGCCGTTGTACTTCAGTCTTCAGTCACGACGGGCCCCTCTTTTCAGCCCCCCTTTTTTTTTCAAATGTCCTAGCTTGGGGAAGTCATAGGGAGGGATTTGCGCCCGCGCTCTACACCTAAAATGTAGCGTTGCTTTGCGTTCCAAGCACTGGGCTCGCCAAATCGTACGCTACTCTGCTCCAGCGGGTGGGGTTGGCAGTGAGATTCAAGGCCTGTTCCCGAATGCAAACCAGGTTTTTATGTCCTGGTTTTGAGCAAGGGGAAGCAGGGCTATCGTTGTTTTCGTTTGCGCATTTTTGTTGTATGTGTCAATTCGTAGTACAAACGTAGCAGTTATGCGAACACGGTATGGTTGGGGCAGAGTGGTGCTGTTGTCCGGAATCTGCCCTGCGACCTCCCAGGCTTTGACGAGGTCTGTTTTCCCATCGCGAGGGGCCAGACCGTTTCGCGTGGGGCAGGCGCCTTTCGTGGGGGTAGATGGGCCGCTCGTCAATTTCGCTACCCAAACTCAAGACTCAAAGGTTTTGAGTCTTGAGTTTGGTCTGTCCGCTCGCTTTAAGGAAGGGTTTGTCAAACATATATTTTGTACGTTACTATTGGCTAGATAGGTGCGTACTCTTAGAGAGTACAACCCCTTAGCACAAAACCACCGTGTATCTCACATTCTATTCACTTCGCTACTTTGATATGGTATCACGCTAGGTTAGGATCCCGCCCACACACGCTTCCGCCCTAGTCCTTGCCCTATCTCGAGCCGCTCGTCATTAGCCGCCCGTTCCTAGTCGAACATCGCTAGCCGCCGCCCATCGCCTGTAGCCCGATGGCCGCCCGTCGCCGCCAGCCGTCCGTAGCCGACAGCCCGCCTGCCCTGCGCCCGCTGACCCCGCATTCACCAGCCCCGGGCTCCCTTGCCCCGTGCCCGCTGGCCCCGCATTCGCCGGCCCCGCGCTCGCCAGTCCCGTGCCCGCAGGCCTCGCGACTGCTGGCCCCGCACCCGCTCGTCAAAGGCCTCGCGACTGCTAGCCCTGCGCCCGCCCGCCCGCGCCTGCTGGCCCCGATCTCAGCAGACCCGCGCCCGCTGGCCCCGCGTTCGCCAGCCCCGCGCGCGTCGGCCCCGTGCGCCCGCTAGCCCTGTGTGCCCGCTCGTCCCGCGCCCGATGGCCCAGCCCCGCGCCCGCTGGCCCCGCGTTCGCCAGCTACCCACCGCCGCCCCTGCGCTCACTCGTCCCGCGCCTGATGGGTCCCTGCGCCTGCCGGCTCCCTGCGCTCGCCAGCTCCGCGCCCGCCGGTCCCTGCACCTGCTGGCCCCGCACCTGACAGCCCCGCGCCTGCTGGTCTGGCACCTGCCAGCCCTGCGCCTCCTGGCCCTACGCCCACCCATCCCGCGCTCGCTGGCCTCGCATTACCGCCAGCCGTAGCCCCGCCGGTCCCAGCCCGCCCCGGCCCTTCTTACCGCCGAGTCGAGTTGACCCGTCAGCCTTGGCTCCCCCTCTGAGCCGGCGCTCTCGCCAGCAGCCTCCACCGCACTCCACCACTCTCCACCGAACTCCACCGCACTCCACCGCTCCCCACCGCACTCCACCACACTCCACCGCTCTCTGCTGCCCTCCTCCGCCTTTCCTCCTCCCCTTGTCAACAGCAGTCAGCTGATGCAGCCGTGGTGATGGCGGACTCTCTGCTCTGCCTGGACGCGGAGGGTCGGGCCGTTGAGTTTGAGGCGTCGCTCGTCGACCTCGCCGCTAGCTGACTGGGCAGCGCCAGGACGGCCACTCCCTGGCCACCCATGTCGATGGCAAGCTCCCTCGCCCCGCCCCATTTGTTGCCCTCCCTAACGCCCCCACGTCTGCTGATCGTGAGGCATTTGTTGCTGCTGAGCTTGCTTGCGCTATCTGGGATTCGCGCGACGCAGTTGCTCAGCTTGCCATTAGTCACGCCCTCCCCCTGTCTGAGCGTCCCCACTTTACCGTTGTAGCGAACACCAAGGAATACTTATATGCCCTCATTGCGCGCTATTCCACCCCTGCCTCAGCCTCTGCCAGTCGCCTAATCCTCCCCATTCTATTCCCCAACCTTGCGTCCTTCCCCACTGTCACTGACCTTGCCACTCACCTCCGCGCACTGGAGACTAGCTACCGCGCCGCTAGTACTGAGGCACAGCTCACTGCCTTCCCACCGCCGCTTTGCGCTACCCTTTACCTTATTGTCACACACCTGCTTGACCACCTAGCCAGTGCATGCGACCACTTCCTTAGTCAACACCCAGGTGACCTCACCCTCACTGCCTTTGTTACCGCCTTGTCCGCGATAGAGACCCGCAAACGCACTATCGCTCAGTCTAGGGGTACTGCGCCAGTCCCTATCTTCCAGGGCTGTGCTCCCTCCCAGTGCACTTACGCTGATGTTTCTGCCGCTGTTGCTGAGACAGCCCCTGCTGCTGAGGCCGCCGCCGCAGCCTCAGCACAGCAGCGTTAGGGCGGGGGCCACCGCCCCAAGGGGGGGCGTGGCGGAGGGAAGGGTAGTGGGGGTGGTGGAGGTGGGGGCGGGGACGGTGGTGCAGATGAGGGGACCAGGGCTGGTGCCCCAAAGCCGCAGCAGCCGCAGCCTTAGCAGCAACAGCAGCAGCCTCAGCAGCAGCAGGAGCAACAGCCTCAGCAGCAGCAGTCGCAACAGCGGCAGCCGCCGCCGTGGGGACCCCCGCGGCCATGGTGGCCTAGTGGCACTGGTAGTGGTGGTCGTGGTGGTGCCGCGCGCAGCTCGATGTCAAGTGGCAGCTCCGGTGTGGCCGCTGACCCCACCTTACTACCTTCGTGCCGATAGTCCTCTTCTTCCTCGGGTCCTTGCCTCCCTCGTTACCCACCCGTCTATTCCTGTCTCGAGTCTTGACTCTCTTGTCGCTACCGTTGCTGACTTCGCATCCACCTGCCGCCTTGACTAAGCCACCACTCTGGTCTCTGACTCTGTCCGACCTCCCTCCGTTGGGGATGCTCTTGCCGTCGAAGGTGACGTCCTGTAGGACCGGCAGTACGAGCTCGCTTTCTGTTGGAGGCTGCTCCTCATCTCTGCTCCATGCTGCTAGTCCTTGAAGGTGACCTAGACGCCCTTGACATCCCAACCCCTCGCACTTACGCTGAGCCGACCTCGGGACCCTGGGCGTCTAAGTGGATAGCTGCCATGGACGCGGGAATGGCATCTTGCAGATCCACCGGCACCTACGTCGACGTACAGTGGCGGAATAAATTGTCCACATGTTTAGCCTTTTTTGGCATTTTGATGAGTGCAGCGGCGTAAACATTAAGCCTTAATGTATGGTGTGCATACACGCTGAGAAGTTCAGTTAGAGCACTCACTCGAGTTGACAAACACCAAAGTAGTACCACACATGGTCCTTAAACACCTAAGCATAGCATAGGATAACATCCGGACAATTTGTACCGGAAACTGGTAGCATACTAGATTCTGTGAAAACTAGTACCTAGTCCAGCGTCCCTTTGCCCGAATCACTGCCTTGATCCTCCTCGGCAGGCTGTCGATTAGGTTTGCACACACCTCTGCCAGTATCTTGTCCCATTCCTCCTGCACCCTCTCCCACAGCTCCAGCATTCCACTTGGCGGCTTTTCGTACTTCCCCAGCTGCCTTTTCAAGTGTGCCCACAGGTGCTCAATCGGGTTAAGGTCCGGGGAGCACGCAGCCATTCCAGCACCACGTACTCCTGCTCCCCAAGCCAGTCTTGGACCAGACGAGACCTGTGCTTGGGATCATTGTCGTGCTGGAAAATGACCTCTGAGGGGGAAAGCTTGAAAAAATCGATGGTCTGTTTGAGCTCATCTTGCAAGATGCTGCGATACAGCAGCCCATCCATCCTGCCATCTATCTTGCACATGAACCCCGCCCCCTCATACGTCATGCAACCCCACACCATCACAGAACCGCCCCCATGCTTAACTGTCTGTTGGACTTGGTGGCTCCGAAGGCTGGTGCCCTCGCGAATCCAGGCGTACACACGTCCGTCGGAGCAGTAGCGGTTTATCTTTGTCTCGTCAGACCAAATCACCCGCTTCCAGTCCTCCAGCGTCCAGTCGGCATGCGACCGCGCGAAGTCGAGACGATCTCGGATGTTTTTCGGTGAGAGCCTGGGTTTCTTGGGCTGATGCACGGCGATCAGCCCCGCGGATAGTAATGAGTTCCGTACTGTCTTCGAGTCTACGGCAAGATCGTGCTTCTCCAACAACATATATGCCGCGTCTACAGAGCTTTTCGCCTCGCCGCTTGTAATCGCGCGTATTATTCCGCGCTGGAGACGGGTAGTGATTAAGCGGGGGCGGCCGGCCGTAGGCATCGTAGGTCGCACCTCCTCGCGACTAGTCTCGGCAGCCACTTTCAAACCGTAATCGTGCACGGTGCTCTTGCCTATGCCAAGAACTTTGCCTATTTTCCTAGTCGAATGGCCTGCACGCAACATGCTTATGATTCGCGCGCGCTTCCGCTCATTTAACGGCTTCATGGCGATGCGGTCGTCGGCTCGCTCTCGGACTAACTCCTAAGCCAGCAACTATTGCGCGTGACGATGTACACACCGAGTGACGGGGGAAAATAGATCTACTCTTCCGCTCGGTAGGAAATGTCCGCTTCGATAGTCGAGGAGTAAATTTCAACCCCACTTTCCGGTTGTGTCACAATCGCGCCAAGCAAGAAACGGTTGAAGCAGAACTCGAACACCTTGTAACGGAATGGCAAAAAATGGGTGTTACTATTTTCGAAACATGTGTGGCACAGCGATATGTTTCAAAGAGTTAAACATCCGGGCAATTTATTCCGCCACTGTAGTTCCCCTTCCTGGGGTGAATGTGGTTGATGGCCGATGGCTCTTCAAGGTGAAGCGCTCTCCCGGAGAGCCGCCGTTGTTCAAGGCATGCTACGTAGCTAGAGGCGTCAGTCAGCGC